AAACACAGGTGTAATATTTTATCTGCGCCGTTACTGGGCGGGCGATATTCTTGGGTTGGGCGCAGTCCGACGCCCCAATAAATTCCTCTCTCTGGATCTCTGGAGGGAAGTGGGAAATCAGGGAATGTATTTTATTATTCTGCGCTGTCCTTATCTGATAACGGTCGGGCCGGGCGATCGGCTCTCAGGGATGTTCACACTTGTGCGCTTTTTTTTTTTTTTTTACTGGCAATGTGCATTAAAACGCACGTGTTGACGCACGCCGCCGCAGCGACGGTGTTCCTTGTATAAAGCACCCCAACCCCTGTACAGAAGAGCCCGACGCGCAACTCGCCGCAACACAACGCAAATGCCATCGGTGCGCGGCGCTCTCGAAAAAGGTCGTGCGTGTTTTTTAATTCACTCCAGTGCATTGGTCGGCCATTTGTATTGAATGGGCTGCCTTCACACGATGCTTGTTAACACGCGCCGGAACGTTCATTAATATTCACGCAGAGTATATTCATAATATTGTCAGTAAATAAATCACAATTATTAATATAATATTATTATTATTGTTTTTGTTTTGAATACTACTACTAATAATAAACATATATAAATATAAAAGTTTTTTGTTTTTTTGCAATTAATAGTAGTACTTATAAAAAATATAAAGAAATATATATATATATATATATATATATATATATATAATATACATATTATACAAATAATATTTAATAAATATAATTAATATATTATTATTATTAATATTATTATTGTTGTTTTTTTTGAATACTACCACTACTACTACTATTAAACATATATATATCTATAAAAAGTTTGTTTTTTTTTGCAATTAATAGTAGTACTTATAAATATACTTAAAAAAATAATAAATATATATATATATATATATATATATATATATATATATATATATATACACAAATAATACAAATAGTATTTATACAAATTATACAAATAATATTTCATAAAAATAATTAATATATTATTATTGTTAATATAATTAGAATTATTATTGTTGTTTTTGTTTTGAATACTACTACTGATAATAAACATATATATATATATATATATATATATATTATTTTTTTTTATTTTTTTTTTGCAATTAATAGTAGTACTTATAAAAATATTTTAAAATATATATATATATATATAATATATAGAAATAATGTGTATACAAATTATACAAATAATATTTAATAAATATAATTAATATATTATAACTATTATTATTATTATTGTTGTTTGTTGTTTTTGTTTTGAATACTAACTACTACTAATAAACATATATATATATATATATATATATATATATATAAAGTTTTTTTGTTTTTTTTGCAAATAGTAGTACTTATAAAAATACTTAAAAAAAATATATATATATATAATATATGAAAATAATACAAATAGTATTTATACAAATTATACAAATAATATTTAATAAATATAATTAATATATTATTATTGTTATTATTATAATTATTATTGTTGTTTTTGTTTTTTTACTACTACTACTAATAATAAACATATAAATATAAAGTTTTTTTGTTTTTTTTTTTGCAATTCATAGTAGTACTTATAAAAATATTTTAAAATATATATATATAATATTTACAAAGAATATTTATACAAATTATACAAATAATATTTAATAAATATAATGAATGTAACATATTTAATAATACAGTTTGATTATTGTAAATATTACTACTACCACTAATAATAATAATTATAATACCAAAAAAAAATATTTTTTTAAATTCTTTAAATATATATATACGGTATAGCATCAGACTTTATCCTGCAGAAGCAGATCAGCAATTGTATGACCGTGTACATGCGCCGTGCTCCTTCCCGCCTCTGACAGCCAAACTGCGAATGAAAGGGAAGCCTCAGATGGAAGCTGACGCATGCTAATTCTGCCCCTCTTGGTCAGAAAAGTCAGGAAATGACAGCTTCCATCGGGGGCTTACCACACAGGTCTGTTACCCTATGACAGGTCCTCTTGTTGCCTGGCACGGTTGGGATGCTGGTGTACACAGAGAAAATCGTCTGATTGGATGACGGATTGGAATCTATAAGTACATTCTGTATTTTTTTTAATTTTCTATTTGTGAAAGAGCTCAGGATGTCACATTGTGTTTGTTATAAATAAAGCTTTGTTGTGATTGTCTATGAACTGTCTGCTCAGGACACGTCCGGGATCTGCTTCCTCCAATGAAAGTCTACCAGTCAGGCCTGACTGACCCAGATCCATGCACTGTGCATGCAGCTGAGGTTCTGATAGACTTTGCCTCATTTCCTGCCTGGAGGACATCCAGCGTCATCTAGCTCTTTCCTGCCCAGCCTGATTATCCCTGGCCCCGCCTGATTGTCCCTGGCCCCGCCCAGTTCTCCATGGCCCCGCCGCTTTCATTCCTAGGACATCATTTCTTTCAATCACTAAGGATCAGTATTACGTGGGGGCGTTACCCATGCAAATCCAGCCTGAAAAGGAACGCCCACTCCTCTGGACTGACACCCACCCATCAAGGCATTTTGATATTTGCATAACTCCTCCCACTGCTTGCATCAGGGCTTTCCTGCCCAGCCTGATTGTCCCTGGCCCCGCCCCTTTCATTCATTGGACGTCAGTTCTTTCAATCACTAAGGATCAGCATCACAAGTGGGCGTTACCCATGCAAATCCAGCCTGACTAGGAACGCCCACTCCTCCAGACTGACACCCACCCATCAAGGCATTTTGATATTTGCATATCTCCTCTCCTCCCACCGCCTGCAGCAGGGCTGAGGGCTCTTGAGAGGAGCACTGAGGCAGGGGGCAGTGATAATTCAGGAAGCTATGTACAGCCCCTCCCACCAGCTATGATCTTGCCTGCATTGCATAGAGAAGCACAGAGACCCAGTGATGACATCACTAATAAGGACTGTAATGAAAATAGAAAGATTTTATTTAATAATGTCATTAGCGTGTTGATGAGGGGGGCGGGAAAATATAGGCCAAATAAACTTGAACTGTAAGCGGGCCGAGTGTCACCAGCAGCTGGGACATCTTCTCATGCCTGAGAATTTAATGGGCTCGCTCCGCGTCCTTATATGGAGTCCTGCCGGGGCAGCCCATGTAAACAAAACACAATCAGGAAAGGCCCCCGTCCCGCCATTCATCACGGGGCTGTCAGACTCCTGCCGAGTGTGTATGTTAGGGAGAGGCGCCCAACCGAAGACCTTCATCCCAGCTGTGGAGCGTCGGGCCAACGCAAACCGCGGCCAACCGGATTAAGAGGCCGATTAGTTATAAAGCCACACGGGAACCATTGGGGTTTTTTTTTTCCGTAGTCAGCTGGCGACGACCTACAGGTGACCGCTGCGGACGCCGCTCTCCGGGAAAACGTGGACCTGGTTGGAATTTACCAGCCGGTCACCATTGTTCGTTACGGGGGGAGGGGCGTTGAGCTTCGTCCTCCTATCAGACGTTCTCATTAGGGGTGGGCGGACTTCGAGCGACAGCCGTGACCGAGCGCGCGTGCGTTTCCATGTGGGGCGGCCCATTTATTTCAAGCACTGAACCTCGACGCAGTTTGGCGCGCGGGTCAGCGGATGTGTGGGGGGTTCCATTAGCTATGGATGCGCACCAGCTAAAGGCAACGCGTTTCTGTACAGGCCGGGGAAGTGCGCGGTTCTGTGTGCGTCCGCCGACACGCAGAGGAGTGAACCCGACCTTACCGAATGTTGAACCCATTTGTTGGTGAACGCCGCTCTCCGCAGCATGGCGGCCGGCTGTAATGCACTTGTATGTGTACAGAGGGCGCTGCTGTTCTGCCCTGGGACTGCGCTCTTTCCGCTCCCCTAGCACTGTGACTGTGCTGACACCAGTCGGGAGCCGGTAGGGCGATCCTCTGATCATGTGACCGCCAATCACATGATCACCAGCTTGCCTACTGGCGTCTGGTGTGGAAGATCCTATAGAGCAGTGATGGCGAACCCGTGGCACGCGTGCCACAGCCGGCACGCCGAGCCTTATCTGTGGGCACGCCAGGAGAATACCGTATTTTTCGCTCCATAAGACGCACTTTTTTTCCCCCAAAAAAGCGGGGAAAATGTCAGTGCGTCTTATGGAGCGAATATAGAGCGGCCGGTCCGGTATTTCCACCGCCACCGTGTCAGAATACCGGGCCGGCCGCTCAGCTCTGCAGTGGGACCGTACCTGTCCCTCTATCCAGCGGCGCGCTGTCTTCCCGGCTTCTGTAGTGTGCGTGACAGCCGGGTCCCAAGTCGCATGCGCAAGAAGCAGTGCTCTTTGTGAATGGTAAGGCGGTACCTGGGACACATGACAGATCCCAGAAGCCGCCGGACCAATCACAAAGCGCAGCGCTTCTCGCGCATGCGCACTTGGGACCCGGCTGTCACGCACACTACAGAAGCCGGGAAGACAGCGCGCGGCTGGATAAAGGAACAGGTAAGATAAAAAAAAAACTCTGCGGAAGTAAGAGCGGGTACCTGTCAAATTCAGGTACCCCCCCCCTCCCAAAGGTCAGCAGTCATCCCTGTACTGTCCGCAGTCTCTGGTCATCCCTGTACTGTCCGCAGTCTCTGGTCATCCCTGTACTGTCCGCAGTCTCTGGTCATCTCCTGTACTATGTCCGCAGTCTCTGCTCATCCCTGTACTGTGTCCGCAGTCTCTGGTCATCCCTGTACTGTGTCCGCAGTCTCTGGTCATCCCTGTACTGTGTCCGCAGTCTCTGGTCATCCCTGTACTGTGTCCGCAGTCTCTGGTCATCTCCTGTACTGTTCGCAGTCTCTGGTCATCCCCTGTACTGTCCGCAGTCTCTGGTCATCTCCTGTACTGTGTCCGCAGTCTCTGGTCATCCCTGTACTATGTCCGCAGTCTCTGGTCATCCCCTGTACTGTTCGCAGTCTCTGGTCATCCCTGTACTGTCCGCAGTCTCTGGTCATCCCTGTACTGTCTGCAGTCTCTGGTCATCTCCTGTGCTATGTCTGCAGTCTCTGGTCATCTCCTGTACTATGTCTGCAGTCTCTGGTCATCTCTGTACTGTCTGCAGTCTCTGGTCATCCCTGTACTGTCCGCAGTCTCTGGTCATCCCTGTACTATGTCTGCAGTCTCTGGTCATCCCTGCACTGTGTCTGCAGTCTCTGGTCATCCCTGTACTGTGTCCGCAGTCTCTGGTCATCCCTGTACTGTGTCCGCAGTCTCTGGTCATCCCTGTACTGTGTCCGCAGTCTCTGGTCATCCCTGTACTATGTCCGCAGTCAGTCTCTGGTCATCTCCTGTACTGTCCGCAGTCTCTGGTCATCCCTGTACTGTGTCCGCAGTCTCTGGTCATCCCTGTACTATGTCCGCAGTCTCTGGTCATCTCCTGTACTGTCCGCAGTCTCTGGTCATCCCTGTACTGTGTCCGCAGTCTCTGGTCATCCCTGTACTATGTCCGCAGTCTCTGGTCATCTCCTGTACTATGTCCGCAGTCTCTGGTCATCCCTGTACTGTGTCCGCAGTCTCTGGTCATCCCTGTACTGTGTCCGCAGTCTCTGGTCATCCCTGTACTATGTCCGCAGTCTCTGGTCATCCCTGTACTATGTCCGCAGTCTCTGGTCATCCCTGTGCTGGTAATTAGTTTGCACTACTGTACGAGTTGTTTTTTCTAAACCAAAAGCTCGATATTCAGGTTTCATTGCAGTGTTGGCACTTTGAAAGAAATAAGTTGGTTTTGGGTTGCAGTTTGGGCACTCGGGCTCACTGCTATAGAGGGTTAAGCTGCAACGTTTGCTAGGAAAAAAATGTACATTTTCTGTAGAAGTGCGTTAGGACTACAGAACCCCCCCCACGTTATGGCAAACAGGGGAGGGGAATGTGTTTGTAGTCATGTCCTAGGGTGACAACCCTGCTGCTCCATAGATACACTGCAGGGTGTGTTGTCACCTTAGGACAGGACGTGTGTTAGGACTACAGAACATCCCCTGTTATGGAGAAGAGGAGGGGGAGGTGTTTGAAGTCCCGTTCTATTGTGACAACATTACCCCTCCATAGATACAGTACAGTGAGTGTTGTTGCTCTAGAACACAAAGTGTATTGGAACTACAGAACACCCGGTTATAGAGGAGGAGAGGTGGAGGTGTTTGTAGTCCTGTCCTACTACGACAACCCTGCTTCTCTATAGATACAGTAAAGTGAGTCATCCTAGGATAGAAAGTGTGTTTGGACTACAGAACACCCCATTATAGAGAAGAGTTGGAAGTGTTTGTAGTCCTGTCCTACCATGACAACCCTGCTCCTCTATAGATATGTTAAAGCGAGTCACCCTAGGACAGGAAGTGTGTTAGGACTACAGAACACCTCCCCCTGTTATGGAGGAAAAGAGAGGGAGGTGTTTGAAGGCCCATTCTAATGTGACAACATAACCCCTCCATAGATACAGTACAGTGAGTGTTGTCACCCTAGGACAGGAAGTGTGTTAGGACTACCGAACCCCCCTCTTTGTTATAGAGAAGTGGAGGTGTTTGTAGTCCTGTCCTACCATGACAACCCTGCTCCTCTATGGATACAGTTCAGTGAGTCACCCTAGGACAGGAAGTGTGTAAGCACTACAGAACACCTTCCCGTTATGGAAAAGAGGAGGGGGGTGTATGAAGTCCTGTCCTATAGTGACTACATTAACCCTCCATAGATATAGTACAGTGAGTGTTGTCACCATAGGACACTAAGTGTATTAGAACTACAGAACTCCCCCCCTTTGGTGTTTGTAGTCCTTTCCTAGCATGACAACCCTGCTCCTCTATGGATACAGCTCAGTCACCCTAGGACAGGAAGTGTGTTAGGACTACAGAACACTTCCCTCTATTATAAGAAGAGATGGGGGGATGGGGAGGTATTTGCAATCCTGTCCTAGGATGACAACGCTGGTCCTAAATACAGTGCAGTGAGTGAGCGTTGTCACCCAGGACAGGAAGGGCATTACTGGCAGGATCACCAGAATAAATGTAGGGCCGGGTCCTGTGCAGTGTGCTGCTGTCTGGGATGTGAGCTCTGCCCCCCCCTGCAGAGGCGTCTTATCAGGATGAGATCACCGGGATCAGCGGATCTCTCAGCCAAGACAAATACACCTCATCGGCCGGATCCGCTCTGACAACAGACATTCCTATATTTGGTGATAGCAGAGCGGGGTCGGCTCTCCCCTTATCATCGGCTCACTGAGGATGGAGACCACACAGCACACTGACAGGAAGCCTTCATAAAAGTCACTTACTGTACTGGAGCCCCGCATCGGCCCGGGAGTCACTCATTAACTGCATGTCAGGACAAGGACTAGGGTCGGGGGACGTGTCGGGACAAGGACTAGGGTCGGGGTACGTGTCGGGACAAGGACTAGGGTCGGGGTACGTGTCGGGACAAGGACTAGGGTCGGGGTACGTGTCGGGACAAGGACTAGGGTCGGGGTACGTGTCGGGACAAGGACTAGGGTCGGGGTACGTGTCGGGACAAGGACTAGGGTCGGGGTACGTGTCGGGACAAGGACTAGGGTCGGGGTACGTGTCGGGGTAAGGACTAGGGTCGGGGTACGTGTCGGGGTAAGGACTAGGGTCGGGGTACGTGTCGGGGTAAGGACTAGGGTCGGGGTACGTGTCGGGGCAAGGACTAGGGTCGGGGTAAGGACTAGGGTCGGGGTACGTGTCGGGACAAGGACTAGGGTCGGGGTACGTGTCGGGACAAGGACTAGGGTCGGGGTACGTGTCGGGACAAGGACTAGGGTCGGGGGACGTATCGGGACAAGGACTAGGGTCGGGGTACGTGTCGGGGTAAGGACTAGGGTCGGGGGACGTGTCGGGACAAGGACTAGGGTCGGGGTACGTGTCGGGACAAGGTCTAGGGTCGGGGTACGTGTCGGGACAAGGACTAGAGTCGGGGTACGTGTCAGGACAAGGACTAGGGTCGGGGTACGTGTCAGGACAAGGACTAGGGTCGGGGTACGTGTCGGGGTAAGGACTAGGGTCGGGGTACGTGTCGGGGTAAGGACTAGGGTCGGGGTACGTGTCGGGGTAAGGACTAGGGTCGGGGTACGTGTCGGGGTAAGGACTAGGGTCGGGGTACGTGTCGGGGTAAGGACTAGGGTCGGGGTACGTGTCGGGGTAAGGACTAGGGTCGGGGTACGTGTCGGGACAAGGACTAGGGTCGGGGTACGTGTTAGGGTAAGGACTAGGGTCGGGGTACGTGTCGGAGTAAGGACTAGGGTCGGGGTACGTGTCGGGGTAAGGACTAGGGTCGGGGTACGTGTCGGGGTAAGGACTAGGGTCGGGGTACGTGTCGGGACAAGGACTAGGGTCGGGGTACGTGTCAGGGTAAGGACTAGAGTCGGGGTACGTGTCGGGGTAAGGACTAGGGTCGGGGTACGTGTCGGGGCAAGGACTAGGGTCGGGGTACGTGTCGGGACAAGGACTAGGGTCGGGGTACGTGTCGGGGCAAGGACTAGGGTCGGGGTACGTGTCGGGGCAAGGACTAGGGTCGGGGTACGTGTCGGGGCAAGGACTAGGGTCGGGGTACATGTCGGGGCAAGGACTAGGGTCGGGGTACGTGTCGGGGCAAGGACTAGGGTCGGGGTACGGACTAGGGTCGGGGTACGTGTCGGGACAAGGACTAGGGTCGGGGTACGTGTCGGGACAAAGACTAGGGTCGGGGTACGTGTCGGGGCAAGGACTAGGGTCGGGGTACGTGTCAGGACAAGGACTAGGGTCGGGTACGTGTCAGGACAAGGACTAGGGTCGGGTACGTGTCGGGGTAAGGACTAGGGTCGGGGTACGTGTCAGGACAAGGACTAGGGTCGGGGTATGTGTCGGGGTAAGGACTAGGGTCGGGGTCCGTGTCGGGGTAAGGACTAGGGTCGGGGTACGTGTCAGGGTAAGGACTAGGGTCGGGGTACATGTCAGGGTAAGGACTATGGTCGGGGTACGTGTCGGGGTAAGGACTAGGGTCGGGTACGTGTCGGGGTAAGGACTAGGGTCGGGGTACGTGTCGGGGTAAGGACTAGGGTCGGGGTCCATGTCAGGGTAGTAAGGACTAGGGTCGGGGTACGTGTCAGGGTAAGGACTAGGGTCGGGGTACATGTCAGGGTAAGGACTAGGGTCGGGGTACATGTCAGGACAAGGACTAGGGTCGGGGTACGTGTCGGGGTAAGGACTATGGTCGGGGTACGTGTCGGGGTAAGGACTAGGGTCGGGGTACGTGTCAGGGTAAGGACTAGGGTCGGGGTACGTGTCAGGGTAAGGACTATGGTCGGGGTACGTGTCGGGGTAAGGACTAGGGTCGGGTACGTGTCGGGGTAAGGACTAGGGTCGGGGTACGTGTCGGGGTAAGGACTAGGGTCGGGGTCCATGTCAGGGTAAGGACTAGGGTCGGGGTACGTGTCAGGGTAAGGACTAGGGTCGGGGTACATGTCAGGGTAAGGACTAGGGTCGGGGTACATGTCAGGACAAGGACTAGGGTCGGGGTACGTGTCGGGGTAAGGACTATGGTCGGGGTACGTGTCGGGGTAAGGACTAGGGTCGGGGTACGTGTCAGGGTAAGGACTATGGTCGGGGTAAGGACTAGGGTCGGGGTACGTGTCAGGGTAAGGACTATGGTCGGGGTACGTGTCGGGGTAAGGACTAGGGTCGGGGTACGTGTCAGGGTAAGGACTAGGGTCGGGGTACGTGTCAGGGTAAGGACTATGGTCGGGGTAAGGACTAGGGTCGGGGTACGTGTCAGGGTAAGGACTATGGTCGGGGTACGTGTCGGGGTAAGGACTAGGGTCGGGGTACGTGTCAGGGTAACTAGTGTCCCCATTGGAAGATTTCCCCTCTATTACTGTTCTGGGGACCACCCACCGACAGAAGTCCTAGCCCCTCCCCCACTCCATCCACAACTGAAGAAAGCTTTGCCTTCAGTTCTACTTAAAGAACTCCATTATAAGAGCAACGCTGCCACCTGATGGCAAGATCTGTGTACTGCAGATAAACATTCTGCAGCAACCACACTGCCCCACAGTGGCAAAACCCAGGACTGCAAGACATTTAACAGCCTGAAGTTCCCGAGTTCTATGGGCCAGGCATCATTGTTTATCTTCTGCCCTAAATGGGTGTCCAACCTGCAGCCCTCCAGCTGTTGCTGAACAACAAATCCCATCATGCCTCTGCCTTTGGGAGTCATGCTTGTAATGATCAGCCTTGCAATGCCTCATGGGACTTGTAGTTCCGCAGCAGCTGGAGGGCCACAGGTTGGACACCGGATTTTTAAACGATTGGCTTAGTAATACGTTTTTCCTTTTTTCTCTCCTTCAGATCTCCTGCAGCCTCTTTGTTGCAGCTTCCTGCCTACATGCACTCCAGTTTCAGCGATATTTCTCCCAGAGGGTGGGAAGATCAGGCCTGCTTAGCGTGTTCATCAGATGCCAGGGTAGCAATGCACACAATTGTGAGTCCTGGCATGGGGTAGTGCCCAGGGTTGCCGTTAGAAACCACAGGGCCCCATAGAGCCAGTCTGACAGCCCCCCCCCCCCCCCCCGCAAAAAAAAAAATGCTGTTTACTATGCTTTAGTTATGAATGAACACAGTGGGTGATCGGTTCTGATCAGCATGAAGTCACACAGATGTCTTACAAGTCGCACTGACATGCGTGTGATTTCAAAGTCATATTTAATGTGAACCAGTGCTAAAGGGTTGAGCAATGCTCTTACCACCCCCCAACTGCTACTCCCCTTCTGCTGCATTGACTGGGGGGGTATACATGCCACAGCCTGGTTTTCCTTGGGACAAGAAGTCCCTAGGAACACCAGAACAGGAAGTGATAAAAATCTGACAGCTTCTAAGGCCGGCCATACATGGGTCGAAAATTGACAGATTTTTTAGTCTGAAAACCGGACCTAAGAATAATCGGTCGATTTTCACTGTTAGTGGGGCCAATGGCACCGGCCGATTTTCGTGGTTCCTTCCTTTTTCGGTGATCAGGCATGTCAGAAAATTTGTGAAAATCGACCAATTTTTTTCCTCTGAAAATTGGACCCAAGAATAAATCGGCCGAATTTCGCTGTTAGTGGGGTCAATGGCACCGGACAATTTTCGTGGCTTCTCCTCATATCGGCAACTGGGCATGTTGGAAAATTCGTGAAAATCGACTGATTTTTTGTCTGAAAATCGGACCTAAGAATAATCGTCCAATTTTCGCTCTGTTAGTGGGGTCAATGGCACCGGCAGATTTTCGTGGCTTCTCCCCTTTTCAGTGATCGGACATGTTGGAAAATTCATGAAAAACAACCCGATTTTCGACTCAATGACAGTCAAATCATACGATCGTTTTTCTGAAAAGAATATGCGCATGAGCCATGACCTGGCAGGAACAGAAGTTTCGCCTGTTATATGGGGAGAACTTTATGACTCGGCCGGACGATTTTTGAAATCATTGATGGCGCCATCGGATTACCGAGCGAACGTTTTAGATTTTCAGACAAAAATTTTTTCACAATTCGAACCATGTATGGCCTGCATTACCCTCAAAAAAATATATTGTTGCAGCCCATGGCTACACTAGACAGACTTCCCATCATTCACTAGTTCAACAGGAAGTGAGGGAAAATTTTCCCAATGGGGCTGCAAATAGAAGCCTTGGGCACTAGAATGTGGGGGTGAGTGGAAAAATCCTGTAGTTTAGCAGTGCTTTTACTGCCCCCCAACCACTACCCCCTTTAGCTGCAAAGTGCAAGGCTTTGCGTCACGGGCTGAAACGATATCCTCTGTTACTTTCGGTGGGCATAGCACCAGCCAAATGCAACCCATTCAAGTGACTGGGGAACACTGCAATGCACACAAACGCAGCACGTTAGTATGGGGTTCAAGCAGGCAGTGAGAAGGCAATACACCTCCCGACCACCTGCCAAAAGCTGTCTGGAGAGTGATTACTCTTCACAGGCCAACACTAGTGTGATCAAGCCATACAGCAGGGGTGGGCAACTGTGGCCCTCCAGCTGTTGTAGAACTACAAGTCCCATGAGGCATTGCAAAACTGAGTTACAAGCATGACTCCCAAAGGCAGAGGCATGATGGGACTTGTAGTTCACCAACAGCTGGAGGGCCACCCTTGCCCTACAGGCTAGATAACCCAGCAGTAAAAGGTGTCCAGTGGATGGGAGTCACTTTGGATGGGGGACCCATGGAACACTGCACTTTGGAGAGGTGGGGAAACCCCTGTCTCAGCTCCCCATATCCCTATTATGTGTAAGTCACCCTGTGCCTGTTAGGGATACAGGGTGATCTCTCCTAATATTGGGGTGGGGGGGTTGTGGATTGTTTAATGCCGCGTTTTTGCATCCCATTGTTCTATTGTGTGTCTTGCTTGGGAGCAAACTATTATGGGATGTATGTGTTTATGTGTATTGGCTTGGTGAGGGGTGTCTCCAGCAGCCCTTCCTCCTGATGGGACTGTCTGCTGGTGTGAAGTTTGATAACCTGTGTGTCTCTTGTTACTAAATGTAGATTGCCCCACCCTGTGTCATTATGCAGGGAGGGGGGACTGTCCCGAGTGTATATATCTTGTATAAACTAGTCTACTTCCTGGTTTATTTCAGGACTGGTGTCGTCTAGTTTTGTATGGTCGGCTGTGGTGTCAGTGGTCGGTGTTCGGACAGGGAAGCGGTAGTCTAACGGAAGTACTCAAGCGCAGTCTGGGGTCGATTCCGTTACAGATGGTGCTAGAGCCTCGGGTTATACTTGTCTATCTCGGCCCGAGTACAAACAAGTTGCTGTGCGGTGACTGGCGTCCCTATAGAACAAATGGAGGAAAAAGGTGGCAGAAAAGAACACAAAGACAAATACTAAACCGGTGTCTTTATTATAGGAAAAATCGTTTCATCGAGTCTCTCTCATAAAACGACATGAACAGATTTGTCTTTGAAAACACAGAGCGGGATGTGAGCGATCCCTTGGTGATAGGGCCTCACCCCATTAATGACTGTTACCCTCAAGAATCCCCCCCCCCCCCCAAACTGCAGCCGAGAACAGCCAAGAAAGGTCCAAGCCGACTAGGCTGCCGACCAGCAGGGCTTCCAGTGTTTGGTCGCTAAGAGATTGAACCTGCAAGTGTGTGTGAGGCTCTCAGAGAGAGAGAGGATCATCAATAATAAAATTACAGAACATCAGAACTGAACATCAAATATAAAAAAAAAAAAACAACAAATATATAAAACAAAAATAAACATTCAATACGAACTCTGGGCACCACCCTTGGGAGAGATTAAGAGTGCGTTCCACCGGCCCGGCTGCGGTTTGTGAAAGGATGAGCGTAGACAAGAGGCGGGGCAGACAGGAGGCGGGGCATAGACCTGACAGTGGGGGCTGCTGGTGTCTTCCTGCGGCCTCCAATGTTGGCTGGGGTTCCTGAAGTGCAGCGGGAGCTCTATGAACCAGGCATACTACAAAGACTGTCCTTAAAGTGGTTGTAAACCTCTGAAATAACCAAAGCATATCCCCTCTATAATGTGTACTAGCCTCAATACACAGCACCTACTGTGACTCTCCATGAGTTCCTCCTCATCATTTACATCCCACCCCATGGAATGTCTGCCCCAATCCAGCACACAGTAGGTGATTGACAGCTTTAACTGTGCATGTTTTCCTAGGTGTCCATTTCCTCCACTCAGATCTCAGATTACACTAAGCTCTCTGTTGGTTGTGCAGTGTGTGACATCAGATACCAGCCCCCTGAAGTTAAGAAATACTCAGTAAACGGTGAACGAGGCATGCTACTGTTCTTAAAAGTGGTTGTGAACCTCTGAATAAAAAAATGAACTAAGCATATCCCTCTATGGTGTGTACTTTCCTCAATCCAAAGCACCTACTGTGACTCTCCATGAGTCCCTCCTGATCATTTACCTCCGACCCCATGGAATCCCTGCCCCTCTCCACCACCCCAGCAGGTGTGCATGTTCTCCTTTGTGTCCATTTCCTCCACTCAGATCTCAGATTACACTAAGCTCTCTGTTGTACAATGTGTGATATCAGATACCCACCCCCTGAACTCAAGAAATGCTCAGTAAGGTGTAAAAAAAAAAAGAAAAAGAAGAAAATGAAGAAAGCAATATGGCGGTGTTAAGGCAATACCACGGCTTTACAACAACCCCCCCTTTAGTTTTAATCTCTCCAAAAGGATGGTATTCAGAACTTGGCTTAAATAACGCGCGGCGGGTGGAATTTTATTATTTCTTACTCCGCGGCTTCAGCTCTTCCGCGGCGTTCCGCAGGAAAATATAATTCTTCTTTTGCGGGTTGTAGAACTCGTGACCCTGGAAGGAGAGGAAACGGTTGGACATTAGAGGTGATGATGAACAAATGAAACCGGCGCGCTCAAATCTTCATGTAGACTAGGATAACCAAAAACGGTCATTCGTAGAGGTGCAGCCCTTACAGATCGGGAAATATTGAAACTGGAGAACAAAAGCACAGCAGGGCGCCCTCTTCCTGCATTCATGTAGTAAACCAAGAATTATGAAGCATAAAATGGATACTCACCAACCAAAGGGGGATAGAGACAGACAAGAAGAGTCCCTAATACAGTCCAAAGTGACGGCAGACCCTTAGTGAGGTAGGCCAACGCGTTTCGAGAGACGAATTCGATCTGACCCAATACCTGAATACAATTTGTATCTGGCCTATCAATCTGCGGTGTGGCCCTTCTAGTGATGCTTCAGCCTAGGTTCACATACAGTCAGGTCCATAAATATTGGGACATCGACACAATTCTAACATTTTTGGCTCTATACACCACCACATGGATTTCAAATGAAACAAACAAGATGTGCTTTAACTTCAGACTGTCAGCTTTAATTTGAGGGTATTTACATCCAAATCAGGTGAACGGTGTAGGAATTACAACAGTTTGCGTATGTGCCTCCCACTTGTTAAGGGACCAAAAGTAATGGGACAATTGGCTTCCCAGCTGTTCCATGGCCAGGTGTGTGTTATTCCCTCATTATCCCAATTACAATGAGCCGATAAAAGGTCCAGAGTTCATTTCAAGTGTGCTATTTGCATTTGGAATCTGTTGCTGTCAACTCTCAAGATGAAATCCAAAGAGCTGTCACTATCAGTGAAGCCATCATTTAGGCTGAAAAAAACAAAACAAACCCATCAGAGAGATAGCAAAAACATTAGGCGTGGCCAAAACAACTGTTTGGAACATTCTTAAAAAGAAGGAACGCACCGGTGAGCTCAGCAACACCAAAAGACCCGGAAGACCACGGAAAACAACTGTGGTGGATGACGAAGATTCTTTCCCTGGTGAAGAAGACACCCTTCACAACAGTTGGCAGATCAAGAACACTCTCCAGGAGGGAGGTGTATGTGTGTCAAAGTCACCAATCAAGAGAAGACTTCACCAGAGTGAATACAGAGGGTTCACCACAAGATGGAAACCATTGGTGAGCCTCAAAAACAGGAAGGCCAGATTAGAGTTTTCCAAACGACATGTAAAAAAGCCTTCACAGTTCTGGAACAACATCCTATGGACAGATGAGACCGACATCAACTTGTACCAGAGTGATGGGAAGAGAAGAGTATGGAGAAGGAACTGCTCATGATCCTAAGCATACCACCTCATCAGTGAAGCATGGTGGTGGTAGTGTCATGGCGTGGGCATGTATGGCTGCCAATGGAACTGGTTCTCTTGTATTTATTGATGATGTGACGGCTGACAGAAGCAGCCGGATGAATTCTGAAGTGTTTCGGGAATATTATCTGCTCATATTCAGCCAAATGCTTCACAACTCATTGGACGCTTCACAGTGCAGATGGACAATGACCCAAAGCAGACTGCAAAAGCAACCAAAGAGTTTTTTAAGGGAAAGAAGTGGAATGTTCTGCAATGGCCAAGTCCATCACCTGACCTGAATCCGATGGAGCATTTCACTTGCTGAAGACAAAAGAAGGGAAAATGCCCCAAGAACAAGCAGGAACTGAAGACAGTTGCAGTAAAGGCCTGGCAGAGCATCACCAGGGATGAAACCCAGCGTCTGGTGATGTCTATGCGTTCCACACTTCAGGCTGTAATTGACTGCAAAGGATTTGCAACCAAGTATTAAAAAGTGAACGTTTGATTTATGATTATTATTCTGTCCCATTACTTTTGGTCCCTTAACAAGTGGGAGGTACATATGCAAACTGTAATCCCTACACCGTTCACCTGATTTGGATGTAAATACCCTCAAATTAAAGCAGACAGTCTGCAGTTAAAGCACATCTTGTTCATTTCATTTCAAATCCACTGTGGTGGTGTATAGAGCCAAAAATGTTAGAATTGTGTCCATGTCCCAATATTTATGGACCTGACTGTATATGCAACGCGGGAAAGCAAGAAAACCCTTTGCATTTCCTGCACCACATTGAAATCACACTGCATTCATGTGGTCTGCTGCGGGTATCATTGTTAAAATTAACTCCACCCTGAAATAGCTTGAATTGCCAGAATCAGATCGTATGTGTGTGAGCACCCATGCGAACCAATTCAGTTATGGCAAAAAAACAAAAACAAAAGAAAAACCAAAAGCAAAAAAAAAAAAAAACAAAAAAATAAAACAAAACAAGAAAAACAATAAAAAAAAAAAAGCAAAACAAAAAAAAACAAAACAAAAAATGGTTTTAAACCAATCCTCTCATCACTCTCCCCAATCTCCAAGTCATATTGGACCGTTTTTCGACTATTTCTGGCCTTCGCATTAATTTGTCTAAAACCGCGGCATTGAATATCACGCTCCCTGCCGACCTGGTTGAACGGTTGCAGACACTTTCCCTACCGCTGGGCGTCCCATTCTCTGGCTTATCTTGGCGTTACACTTACTTCCTCCTATTCTACTTTATTTTCGGCTAATTATTACCCCTCATTGCGCTCCGTTACTTCCCAGTTTCCTTCTTTATCATGGATTGGCTGGTTACATGCTGTCAAGATGACTATCCTGCCGAAGATCCTGTACTGTCCCTATTCGTGTCCCTGCGTCTGTCCTTCGTGTACTGCAAAGCCGGATTCTCCGTTTTATTTGGGCTCATAAACGTCCCGGAGTTCCTAGAGCCACTCTATATACTCATAGATTACAGGGAGGTTTGGGAGTCCCACACGTTTCTAGATACTACTTAGCGGCTCAGATTTCCCAGTTGTCCATGCTCCATGCCACGACAGATATCCCGTTATGGGTACTCTTGGAATCACCCAACTGCGCTCCGCTTTCCTTGACACATTGCTTTGGCTCCCGCCTAAGCTACGCCCTCCAGATTTGAGCTCCATCATGCTTCACAGTTTACAAACCAGGGATTCTGTCAAATATTCGGGGAATTTGATTTCATCATTTCTACCTCTTTTGCCGATTAGGCATTAATCCTTTATTTCCGCCAGGCCTAGACCATCCCCTTCTTTCTCTTGGTGGACCTCCCATGGCTTTGTTATTGTCCATGATTTTTTGAACGCTCGTACGTTACCTTCATGGGCATCTCTTCAAGAATTAAGGGGGGTCCCGCCATGGGAATATTATCGATATTTGCAGTTGGGCCACTGGGTCCTGTCCCTCCGTCGTACTTCTACATACCCATACTGCAAACCATCCTTTGAACACGTTTGTCAGCACTCCCCAGGGTCCCCTGGTCTCATTTCTGTAATTTATGCCTCCCTTAACAGTAGGTCCTCCTCACCACCCGTCTTACGTCTCTCAGTGGGAGCGAGATCTGGGTGTCTTGATTGTGGCGGAGGATTGGCGTAGGGCCTGGGGGACGGTGGCGAAATGTTCATTCAATACAGTCACTCTTGAGGCGGCCTACAAAGTTCTCCTGCGGTGGTACTGGGTCCGGGCTCTGACTGCGCACTTTAATCCAACTGGTGGAGATGGGCGTTTCGGGAACTGTGGTCTACGCGGGGACGTCTTACACATTTGGTGGTCCTGCCCGCGATTGATAGGCTTCTGGTCTAGGGTTTTTGGTTTGCTACAAATGCTATTTCACATTACGGTCCGTAGGGATGCAAAGGTGGCCCTTCTACATTGCCCAATTCTGGGTCTGTCTAGGTCTCAGCAGAAATTGGCATCTTACCTATTTTATTTCGGCCAAACGTGCCATAGCTCAAGCTTGGAGAACCCCTTCGGTTGTCTTCCAAGGGGTGAAGACCCGGATGAATGATATGCTGATCAATGAACACATGTCTAGCGTTCTTCATGATTTTCATCCGAGATTTCTTAAGGTTTGGGAACCTTGGATACGTTATTCCTTGCCATCCCTGCCCCTTACTAGTTATGACCCCTTATAATTGTTGCCTGTGCTAGCCCTGGATCCGGACTCTTCTAGTCTCCCTTTCCTCTAGGTTTTCTTTCTGATTCCTTTTTTTTTTTTCCTTTCTTCTAACCTTTTTTCTTTCCTCTTCTCTTTACAGTATTATGTTAGACTACTGCCGATAATATTTGGTTCGGCCGTTTACCGTCCTTCCTTGCTGTTATTGGACATTTTATTATTTGGCTAATACAAGTCAGCAGGATGTACCTGTCCTTGAGTTATTGTTACGCTCGGCCCCTGCGTGGGCGTATATTGAGCTTGTTGTGTTCATAAAAAACAAAAAAACTTTATTAAAAATATTGAAACAGAAAAACAAAACAAAAAAAGGTCCTGGGTCATTTTGGTGCAGATGTGGTGCGATACGAAATGAATAAATCGCACCGCACAGGCATCACGTGTTCTGCACAGGAAGGCGGTGGTATTCCTGTGTGACTCACATGCAGTTCCCGGCACCGCTTAAGTGCGAACCCAGAACGAGTCTTAGATCTGCTGTCCGAATGTCTATCAGTGTGTGGCAGAAATACGGAGGTGCCATGTGATTTCTAGGAATCGCCAAGTTCGGGACATTATTCGACGCGCTCACCTTGGACCAATCATAGCTCGCTGCATAGGCAAAGATGTTCCCGTTGTGGTTGAAGCAGCACGCGGAGATGGGCTGGTCCAGCTGTTCTGACGTCTTCAGTTTGGTTCGGGCGTCTTTGTCCCAGAAACTAAATCGGCCATCGGAGCCGACAGTGGCCAGCGTGCCGTGTACCGGGTGAAAGGCGATGCCGTTTACCTGGGCGGGGGAGACATGAAGATACAAATATGGTGTAATTCTAATTCCCCCAGAATCAGGGCAGAGAGCACAGCAGATTGACAGCCGGATCTGTAGAAATCCTTGTATACGTACAGCATAGATGTCCTGGGGAGCGGCCGTGTTCGTCCCATTGGACCGATGACACTTAAATGTAAAGTTGTCTTTGGCTCTGGAATACAAACTCGGGTTATTTATTGTCTTTATCGTGTCACCAAAACACACATGAACAGTGTACAACAAAGAATGGATTCAAAGTATGACATGTCTGTTCACCTGACCCCATCCCATACCTTCAAGCTGAACTCCAGAAAAAAACTTTAAACAAAGAAACAACCAAACAAAAACCAAGCCCTCCCACTTCCAGGGGTAAACACTTGCCGAATCCAGAGGCAGATTGGCAAATCTAAAAGGCTACATTCACCTTTTGAGAAAAAAAAAATTTATATATATGAATGCAGGGTCCGGGGAGAGGGGATATAGTGAATGAGGGGTCCGGGGAGAGGAGATATAGGGAATGCAGGGTCCGGGGAGAGCGGATATAGGGAATGCGGGGTCCGGGGAGAGCGATATAGTGAATGCGGGGTCCGGGGAGAGCGGATATAGGGAATGCGGGGTCCGGGGGAGAGCGGATATAGGGAATGCGGGGTCCGGGGAGAGCGGATATAGGGAATGCGGGGTCCGGGGAGAGGGGATATAGTGAATGCAGGGTCCGGGGAGAGGGGATATAGTGAATGCAGGGTCCGGGGAGAGGGGATATAGTGAATGCGGGGTCCGGGGAGAGCGGATATAGTGAATGCGGGGTCCGGGGAGAGCGGATATAGTGAATGCGGGGGCCGGGGAGAGCGGATATAGTGAATGCGGGGTCCGGGGAGAGGGGATATAGTGAATGCGGGGTCCGGGGAGAGCGGATATAGTGAATGCGGGGTCCGGGGAGAGCGGATATAGTGAATGCGGGGTCCGGGGAGAGCGGATATAGTGAATGCGGGGTCCGGGGAGAGCGGATATAGTGAATGCGGGGTCCGGGGAGGGGCGGATATAGGGAATGCGGGGTCCGGGGAGAGCTGATATAGGGAATGCGGGGTCCGGGGAGAGCTGATATAGGGAATGCGGGGTCCGGGGAGAGCTGATATAGTGAATGCGGGGTCCGGGGAGAGCGGATATAGGGAATGCGGGGTCCGGGGAGAGCGGATATAGGGAATGCGGGGTCCGGGGAGAGCGGATATAGTGAATGCGGGGTCCGGGGAGAGCGGATATAGTGAATGCGGGGTCCGGGGAAAGCGGATATAGTGAATGCAGGGTCCGGGGAGAGCGGATATAGTGAATGCGGGGTCCGGGGAGAGCGGATATAGTGAATGCGGGGTCCGGGGAAAGCGGATATAGTGAATGCGGGGTCCGGGGAGAGCGGATATAGTGAATGCAGGGTCCGGGGAGAGCGGATATAGTGAATGCAGGGTCCGGGGAGAGCGGATATATGAGCGGGGTCAGCGGATATAGTGAATGCGGGGTCCGGGGAGAGCGGATATAGTGAATGCGGGGTCCGGGGAGAGCGGATATAGTGAATGCGGGGTCCGGGGAGAGCGGATATAGTGAATGCGGGGTCCGGGGAGAGCGGATATAGTGAATGCGGGGTCCGGGGGGAGAGCGGATATAGTGAATGCGGGGTCCGGGGGAGAGCGGATATAGTGAATGCGGGGTCCGGGGAGAGCGGATATAGTGAATGCGGGGTCCGGGGAGAGCGGATATAGTGAATGCGGGGTCCGGGGAGAGCAGATATAGTGAATGCGGGGATCAGGGGGGCTGGATATAGTGAATGCGGGGATCAGGGGGGCTGGATATAGTGAATGCGGGGACCAGGGGGGCTGGATATAGTGAATGCAGGAACCAGGGGGGCTCTGGAAGGATCCTGACACTATTGTCAGGATGCACCTGGCTGTCTGACTGACAGCTGGCTCCGCCTCTCTGCATGCAGCTAACAGCTGGAGCTAGCTGTGCCCGCCCCATCTGCTCCAGTGACCACAGCAGAAGAAGAGCGGTAAACTGGAACGGACAGTCACTGCTCTCCTATCTGGCAGACTGAGGGCTGAGTGATCAGCACTCGTGATCACTCAGTTCTCAGTCTTAGAGCCAATGTGGGACAGCTGCAGCATCACACTGTTGCGAGTGAGAGCAAGTTTGTTTTTTTTCATAAACCCAGAAATTTTGGAGGTTTCAGCCAGGAACATGAAGGTGCACATAATTACCCACAATGCAGAACATATTATAACTCACGGATTCGGGGGGTTGATGTAGTGGATGGCAACTCGACCTTCGATGCTTCCCAGGGCAAAACCGGTTGGCTTGTTCTGTTTATCTTTAAATATGGCGACACATCGGTGCTGGAACATTAATAAAAGGTATATTAAAGGTCTAAAGAGCTCATAGTCCTTTTTTTAAACCCCTTCCAGTCCGGACACTTTCACCCCCCTTCCAGTCCGGACACTTCCACCCCCCTTCCAGTCCGGACACTTTCACCCCCCTTCCAGTCCGGACACTTTCACCCCCCTTCCAGTCCGGACGCTTTCCCCCACTTCCAGTCTGGACGCTTTCACCCCCCTTCCAGTCCGGACACTTTCACCCCCACTTCCAGTCCGGACACTTTCACCCCCCTTCCAGTCCGGACACTTTCACCCCCCTTCCAGTCCGGACACTTTCACCCCCCTTCCAGTCCGGACACTTTCACCCCCCCTTCCAGTCCGGACACTTTCACCCCCCTTCCAGTCCGGACACTTTCACCCCCCTTCCAGTCCGGACACTTTCACCCCCTCCCTGCCCCCAGGCCAATTTTCAGCTTTCAGCTCTATCACACTTTGAGTGACAATTGCGCGGTCATGCAACACTGTACCCATATGAATTTTTTAGCATTTTTTTGAGACAGATAAAACTTTATTTTGGTTGTATTTATTCACCACTGGGATTTTTATTTTTTTTGCTATGTAAATGAAAATAAAAATAATAAAACTTTGAAAAAGTGTTTTTCTTATAAAATTTCTTATAAACCCAAACTAGTTTATAAACAAAAATTATAATTTTTAAACTTTTTTACATTTTTAAATTTTTTTTATATATTATTATGTTTTGTTTTACATACTGTCACCCTAGCAGTACAGTGTCACCATGGTGACACTGTACTACTTTGTGGGGGGTGATGAAGAGATTTTTTTTTTTTTTTTTTTCACCGATTGCTTTTACACCCATAAAGGCTGTAAAAGCAATTATTTCTCCTTCTCTCTGGCTGCATTATTGCAGCCATTGAGAACTACTGTGAGAGCTGTGATTGGTCACAGCTTGTCACATGGTACAGGGCAGTTGTGAAAAGCCCTGTACCATGTGACCTCTGTGATCATTCACAGATTTCACATGTAGTAAGCAATGTCAGAAGTGACACCTTGCTTACTACTCTGCATGTGATCACTGATTGGCCAATCAGTGATCACATGATTGGGACCTCGCACAGAGGACCCGTACAACGATCGGTGTTCCACTGTGTCCGGAGGATACAGTGGGCACCGGATCGCGGTGCTGCACGCTCCCAGGAAGCGCGCACAAGCAGGGGGCCGAGAAAGCCGTTCATGAACGATCACCCGACCCTGCACTGCCACCATCCGGCCGTTTATATACATTGGCCAGAAAGGATATGGTTAAAAAAACAAAAACAACAAAAACACAAAACAAAAAAAAAAAAACCTGCTGGTTCCCCGTACAGCCGTTTTCATCCACTTCCTGTCTACATGCACTCACTGAAATGTCAGCTGCAATCATTGATGTGGACCGGCTTCCTGAATGTGACAATGGCGGACCATGTCTGCATAATGTACATCAGCACCGACGCCTATAGTCTCCAACTGGGGTGCATGTGACAGGTGACAACCCAATAGCATGGACAAGTAGAGCTGTCACCCTCTAACAGGAAGTGCCTAAACAAAGACCATCATGGCAGGATCGCCAGGTACTATTTTACTGAAGGCTACAGATATGAAATACATCAAAGTAACATGTTCCAGCTTAGATGAGATTTTTGTATTGGGCTGCTATCTGATTTATGATCAGAGCTTACAAAGCACATGACTTTCCACCACACAAGTCGCACAAACAATATAAAAATCAGGTTAGGTAGCAGTTGACAGCAAACAGTCCAGTCCATGCAATGAGTGCGACGTTACCTGGTGCTTCAATGGGGATTCAATCCTTCGAAATTCGGAGGGCTGATTCTCCAACTGATATACTATTAATCCTCTCTCGGCTGTCGCTACCACGGCCATGGGGTACACCTGAGTGGAGGGAACAAAATGCAAGAAATCAGATTTTCTTTCATCAATACTGCCGAAAGTGTGCCTGTTCCAGAATGGGCAAGGTCGGAGGTTGGGGTGATTGGGGTGGCCTGGTGTCGGAGGTTGCCTGGTGTCGGAGGTTGGGGTGTTGTTGCCTGGTGTCGGAGGTTGGGGTGATTGGGGTGTTGCCTGGTGTCGGAGGTTGGGGTGATTGGGGTGTTGCCTGGTGTCGGAGGTTGGGGTGATTGAGGTGTTGCGGTGAGAGCAGAGGGTGTTGAGAGAGGCTGCTGTGGTGGTGAAAGCAGAGATATTTAGAGGTTGGCAGATGCGGTGGTGAGACTGAAAGATAAATGGGGTCAGGTGCAGTGGTGATAGTAAGGGATGTTAAGACACAGTGGTGGGGGTGCTTTGCCAGAGAGCAGGGAGATCAGGCACTGTGGCAAGGATGGGGGAGAGAATCAGGCATTTTGGCATTTTCAGGCACTGTGGCGAGGACGGGGTGGGGGGGATCAGGCGGCTGTGGTGGGACGGGACGGGGGGGAATCAGGCACTGCGGCGGCAGGGGGGGGGGGGGGGGGGGGGTGGGGGGGGGGGGGGGGGCAGGCACTGTGGCGAAGGCGGGGGGGGGGGGTCAGGCACTGTGGCGAAGGCGGGGGGGGGGGGGGGGTCAGGCACTGTGGCGAAGGGGGGGGGGGGGGGGTCGGGGGGGGGCGAGGGGCAGGGGGGGGGGGGTCAGGCACTGTGGCGAAGGGACGGGGGGGGGGGTCAGGCACTGGGCGAAGGGGGGGGGGGGGGGGGTCAGGCACTGTGGCGAAGGCGGGGGGGGGGGGGGAAGGGTCAGGCACTGTGGCGAAGGCGGGGGGGGGGGGGGGGGGGGGCACTGTGGCGAAGGCGGGGGGGGGGGGGGGGGGTCAGGGGGGGGGGGGTCAGGCACTGTGGCGAAGGCGGGGGGGGGGGGGAGAAGGGTCAGGCACTGTGGCGAAGGCGGGGGGGGGGGGGGGGGGGGGTCAGGCACTGTGGAGGCAGGGGAGGCGGGAGAAATCAAACACTGTGGTGAAAGTGAAAAGGGGGGGAGGGGGGGGAGATCAGGCACTGTGGCGAAGGCAGGAGAGGGGGGAGAAAACAAGCACGGTGGTGACGGAGGTGGGGGGGGGGGGGGGGGGGGTGGTTGGGGAGATAAGGCACTGTGGCGAGGGCAGGGGGATCAGGCACACTGTGGCAGAGGCAGGGGGATCAGGCACTGTGGCGAGGGCAGGGGGATCAGGCACTGTGGCGAGGGCAGGGGGATCAGGCACTGTGGCGAGGGCAGGGGGATCAGGCACTGTGGCGAGGGCAGGGGGATCAGGCACTGTGGCGAGGGCAGGGGGATCAGGCACTGTGGCGAGGGCGAGCATACACAAGTGCTTAAAGAGGATCTTTATCCTAAAAAGAAAAACAGTAGCTGCTGACTTTTAATGAAAAAGGACACTTACCTGTCCAGGGATCCATCGCTGTCCTCACCAGGGCCAGTTTTTCGCTGGTCTTCAGGCCCCCAGCGCTGGCATGTTTACTGTGGGAAGTTGGCTGTGATTCCTTACGACGTCATAGCGGGCTTCCCACTGTGCATGCACGAGCCAAGTTGCACTTTGTGAATAGTCCTACAACTTTCTGAGACCCGTGATATGTCCCAGAAGGTTGCAGGTAAAGAGAAGGGGGACCTAGACAATCGGAGCAGACGTAGGAGCGGGGGCCCATCAAAACTAGGCGCTCACTCCCCGCCCAAAAAATGTTATGTGTCAAAATGTGGTAAAGCAGGGGGTGGGGGAGGAGGACATAAGCCAGACTGGCAAAAGAGAATTGCAAGAACGGCAAGGGTACAGAAAGTGTATGGGATTGGGATGGCGTATGTGTGGACATGGAGGTGAGAGCGTAGATTTGGGGCAATGAGAACATAGGGGGGAAAGATGGGGGGGAGATAGGTTCCCATGGTGGGAGGAGCTGGGTGCTGGAACACTGGTGTGGGGGTGAAAGTGTGCAGAAAGAGTGGCGAGATTTGGGGGGGAGAGTTGAGATGAGACTGCAAAGAACAGACAGTTCCCACGGGCGACTCAGCCGTCACATCCCCGGGACGCTGAGACCAATAAGGGGTTCTCAAATTTCCCAGCAATCAGTGTGTGTGGCCGAGAGAAGCTGGGGGCCCCCCTATGCATCCCGGGCCTAGGGTCCAGGGAACTCCCCAGGAACAGACGGGATGCGCGATTTACGTTTCCAGTAACAGATACACTTCGGTGGACATGACAGATTCAGGTTTACCTTGCAGCCATCGCCTGCGACTTACCACATCCGCACAGTAACATCGTTCCGGCAGCTGAAGCGTCATTAAAGGATTTGGCGAGCGCGTGTCCCAAAACTATAAGAGCACACAAGCGCAGACCGATCAGCAGTAATCACAGACAAAAAAAAACAATTCAGGATGAACGGCATACAACTGAAAATTTCTAATGAAGTAAAACACAAATGTTCTGACCGCCCAGGGGCAGACTGGCCATTGGAGCACTCGGGTACTGCCCGAGGGCCCGGGGTCAGTAGGGGGCCCCATGAAATGCCCCTGGTACATTTTACAGGTTTTTTTGGGTGTGCTTTGAGTGTGGGCAAGGACACACGGGCCCCATGATCCCCTATTGTCCGGGGGCCCCCAAGAGTTGTCAGTCCACCTGTGACCGCCCCTTTACTGCAAGAAGATATCAGGCGGGTAGATGTCCATCACCTTGTGTGTTTGAATGATCGGTGGCTTTACATTACCACCAGGATATTCTCTTACGTCTGCTGAAAACACTGGGAAAGCTTGTTCAGCTAGGAGTGGCCGTGTGACCGTTCTACATTCGCAGCCGCCTCTCCAAGTCTCCCCCAACTGTCAGGGCCCTCGGAGCATGAGACCCTACAGAGAGACCCTGTGTGATGGCAGCTGGAAGATCAGAACACAAGGTACGCTTCCCTGTTGGGAAGAGGTTTTGTCTGTGTAATGTCACATAATAGCCCAACAACCTAGGTTGTCAAGATAGTCTCCAAAAGCCACACACAAAAGGGCCAAAAGTGGCCCTTGGGCCACAGGTTAAAAGAGAACACCCCCCCCCCCCCATTTATACTTACCTAGGTGGATGCAGCATTGGTCCGATGTTGCATCTGTCGCTTGCCAGCTCTAACCCCTGGTTAACATATATGCGTTTTGCGTGGGCACGAGAGCCCATTCTTTTGAATGGACTCCTGTTCCCCCGGGACACACAGGGAAGAAGTTCCGGCACTTCTTCTGAAAACGCAGCCGAGGTTCCCAGTACGGTTGTAGGTCTGCGGTTTCCAGTGCGGGCGGAGTGCCATTAGAATGGATGGCGCCGCTGCACAGCTCTCCATAGGGATCCACAGCGGCACCACCCACATTATGTGAACCAAGCGTGAACTATCACATGACATTCAGTCACTGCGGTCTGCCCCCCCATCGCTGGGCATTAAAGGTGGAGGGAGCGGCTGGCTCAGGCTCTCAGCGGCTCGCGGATAGGCTGAGCCAGGTGCCACTCTAGACTCTGGGGGTGGATACAGACTTTTAGGTTGGGATCTTTCCCCTGCCTGGACCGGCTGAGCGACTTCAACCGCTGAAAACGGGTCACATGAGTGCAAAATGAACTGCGATCCACAGGAGAAGTACAGCCCAAAGAGCTTTGCCTGTAATTGTCCTTCAAGGGATTTAGACACTTACCTTCAGAGTTTTGTCCCAGCTGCCAGTCATTATACAGCTATAGTTAGGCGCTTTGATCCAGTGTACAGTTTTTATTGGTGCTTCATGCTGGAAAAAAGGAAAAAAAAAAGATCTATAATACATCTGTTCACATTTTGGCTACAGGGTCCTTTCTTTGTCAATACCTACTTGCTGACAGAAAGGCCATAGGCACACACACGGTCACAGGGAGCGGCACACCAAGCAAATCATGAACCAGCTTACCTGTGCAATCTGTATAGACTGGTTGCTGTTCAGGTCCCACATTTTGGCAGTTTTGTCACAAGACGCTGTGAATACTTTGCTGCCGTCCTGCAGTCAAAAGAAATTGAAGAGAGAATGAATGTTAAGAATGCCCAACTAGACAGGTCCTCTTTATAATGTATTGTAACTTGCCTTTAAAGAGACCCTCTACCGTTTCCCATTTAGGGCACAGCAGCAATGAAGACTTCCCCCTCTGTTAGCAGACGGTCTTTGGGCCTACTGATTGTCTAGGAGGCCCAAGCACTGCATCATGGGAGGAGGTGGCGCCGCCCCAGCGTCCCGGGAGGAGGTGGCGCCGCCCCAGCGTCCCGGGAGGAGGTGGCGCCGCCCCAGCGTCCCGGGAGGAGGTGGCGCCGCCCCAGCGTCCCGGGAGGAGGTGGCGCCGCCCCAGCGTCCCGGGAGGAGGTGGCGCCGCCCCAGCGTCCCGGGAGGAGGTGGCGCCGCCCCAGCGTCCCGGGAGGAAGTGGCGCCGCCCCAGCGTCCCGGGAGGAGGTGGCGCCGCCCCAGCGTCCCGGGAGGAGGTGGCGCCGCCCCAGCGTCCCGGGAGGAGGTCGCGCCGTCCCAGCGTCCCGGGAGGAGGTCGCGCCGTCCCCGCGTCCCGGGAGGAGGTCACGCATCCCTGGATGAGGTCACGTCTCCCCGCATCCCAGGAGGAGGTCACGCCGCCCCCCCCGCATCCCGGGAGGTCACGCCGTCCCAGCATCCCGGGAGGAGGTCACAAGCTCACCTATACATGCAAGCTCCGGCTGAGGCAGTGGAGAGAGCAGTGAGGGAGCAGAGTATCAGAGGGTAGCTTTTTCCGAGACACGTCACCTTGGGACACAAAGACCGCGTCTCTTTAAGGTAGGTGCTCATTCATCACACAAAGGCAGATATAAAGTGGCCCACACACACCCTTAAAAGGATAAGTTCACCTTTCAACAGAAAAATAAATGCACATTTTTTTGCAGGTAAAAAAAAAAAAAAAAGGGCATTTATTATTTTTTGTTTTCAGAGCCTGTAAAGCACTGCACCAGCAATGAGCAGATCACTGATGCCATGCAGGTCTCCTGCAGACCTGTCAGTATATCTGCTTCCTCAGACAGGGAAGCCCATAGTTACTGACAGGAAGCCCATAGTTACTGACAGGAAGTTCGTTGAGAGAACTACAAGCTGACAGCCACAAAGGCTGCTGGGACTTGTAGTTTTCTCATTACCAGAACACTATAAAAGAGCGATACGGCTGGGCGGGCCGCCCCCCACACGGCTTTGGGTTTTTTTTTTTTTAAATTGTGACAGCTGGCGGGATGAGGAGATCCCCCACTAGCTGTCACAACGGGAAACCAGGGGAGGGGGGGGTGTGTGGGGGGCCGGTCCGTTCGTAACCTGTTACATCCTGACTATGGGTTACAAAAGGTGATCTTTATCCTTTAATCTATGGTGCAATCTCTGACCTCTCAACAACTCCACAATACAACGGCCTGTCTGCTCAAATGCAAACATATTGAGGAAGAACCTGAAAGGTGAAAGTTTTGGTGAATCTAAAGCAGAAAGCACACAAGGGTTGTATAACGAGGCCGGAACACACAATGTGGCCATACATACGTCACTCCAGCAGACGTCCAGCACCGGCCCCGTGTGCATCTGTTGGGCTTTCGGAATAGTCTGCCCGTTGTCCTGCACCTCCCAACATCGAACCTGAGATAGAAAACAATTCCAGGTGTAAGAAGAAGGAAATTTAAATGAAAAAAAAAAAAACCCAAAACAAACAATTGATCACCAACATGGACAACCTGCCTGTGCTGTAGAAATGACAGTTAGACCCTGACCAGGTATTTATAACAGTTTTGTTCTGAAGACAGTTGGGAGAGGTTAGAGCCTCTGTATGGTGGTTGTTGGCGCCATATCTGTCCGCATTGGCTGTTATTATTTATTTATTATTTATTTCAGATACTTATATATCACCGTCAATGTACACAGCACTTTACATATATATTGTACATTCACATCAGTCCCTAACCCTCAAGGGGCGTACAATCGAAGGTCCCTAACCCTCAAGGGGCGTACAATCGAAAGGTCCCTAACCCTCGAGGGGCGTACAATCTAAGGTCCCTAACCCTCGAGGGGCGTACAATCTAAGGTCCCTAACCCTCGAGGGGCGTACAATCTAAGGTCCCTAACCCTCGAGGGGCGTACAATCTAAGGTCCCTAACCCTCGAGGGGCGTACAATCTAAGGTCCCTAACCCTCGAGGGGCGTACAATCTAAGGTCCCTAACCCTCGAGGGGCGTACAATCGAAGGTCCCTAACCCTCGAGGGGCGTACAATCGAAGGTCCCTAACCCTCGAGGGGCGTACAATCGAAGGTCCCTAACCCTCGAGGGGCGTACAATCGAAGGTCCCTAACCCTCGAGGGGCGTACAATCTAAGGTCCCTAACCCTCGAGGGGCGTACAATCTAAGGTCCCTAACCCTCGAGGGGCGTACAATCGAAGGTCCCTAACCCTCGAGGGGCGTACAATCGAAGGTCCCTAACCCTCGAGGGGCGTACAATCGAAGGTCCCTAACCCTCGAGGGGCGTACAATCGAAGGTCCCTAACCCTCGAGGGGCGTACAATCGAAGGTCCCTAACCCTCGAGGGGCGTACAATCGAAGGTCCCTAACCCTCGAGGGGCGTACAATCGAAGGTCCCTAACCCTCGAGGGGCGTACAATCGAAGGTCCCTAACCCTCGAGGGGCGTACAATCGAAGGTCCCTAACCCTCGAGGGGCGTACAATCTAAGGTCCCTAACCCTCGAGGGGCGTACAATCTAAGGTCCCTAACCCTCGAGGGGCGTACAATCGAAGGTCCCTAACCCTCGAGGGGCGTACAATCGAAGGTCCCTAACCCTCGAGGGGCGTACAATCGAAGGTCCCTAACCCTCGAGGGGCATACAATCGAAGGTCCCTAACTTACATTCATACATAAACATACTAGGGCCAATTTAGACAGGAGCCAATTAACCTACCAGCATGTCTTTGGAGTGTGGGAGGAAACCGGAGTACCCGGAGGAAACCCACACAGGCACAGGGAGAACATGCAAACTCCAGGCAGGTGGTGTCCGTGGCTGGGATTCGAACCAACGACCCGAGTACTGCCAGGCGGAAGTGCTAACCACTGTGCTGCCCCAGTTGGCTAGTTATTCTTACTTTCTATCCAGACAGGAAAAGGTTTTTGTAGCTGCTGACTTTTATTTTTTTTACAGCGGGAGTGGAACTCGGTTTTCTTCAAATTGTATTTATTGGGTAGGGGGGGACAAGCTGTTATTATCAGTTACAAACTCCCTGCCGTTCTGTAGGAGAGAACAAAGTAAACAGGGTGTATGTAGTGCCATCCTGTCCATCTGCTCCTCCCACTCGCTGGCAATTCGCAGCTTCCACAATGGCAGCCGGGAGTTGCTGCGTCAATACAGAAGCTGCTGTAACATTGATAGCTACTTTTGTACTTACTCCCGGTTCACATCTGTGCCGCTGCGGATCTGCATGAAAATCCGTGCAGCCGCACCACCCGCACAGAGAAATGCGGACCTGCGGGCGGTGACAAAAAAAAAAAAAAAAAAAAAGCCTAACAAAACGCTGTAAAAATGTGCGTAGAAAAACGCAAAACCGACAAAGCAAACTGTATAGGTGTGAACCAGGGGCGGACTGACCATTTGGAGACTCGGGCACTGCTCGAGGGCCCGGGGTCAGTAGAGGGCCCCATGAGATGCCCCTGGTACCTTTTTCATAGGCTTTTTTGAGTTTGGGCAAGGACACAGGGGCCCCATGATCCCCTATTGCCCGGGGGCCCCATGAGTTGTCAGTCCGCCCCTGGTGTGAACTGAGCCCTAGACTTGGCTCACATCTGTGCGGGTGGTGCCTCTGCGGATCCGCACGAAAATCCGTGGAGCCGCACCACCTGCACAGAGGAATGTGGACCCGTGGACGGTGACAGTTCTAACGGCACGTCGCCCGCACTGGAAAACGCAACCGTACTGGGAGCCTCGGCTGCGTTTTCAGCAGAAGTGCCGGGACTTCCCTGCGTGTCCCGGGGCACCGGAGTCCATTCAGATGAGTGGGCTCTCGTGTCCGTGCAAAACACGGACCGCATGGCTGCATATATGTGAACCGGGGGTTACTCGGTTTCATTCACCTGCTGAACCAATTAAAAATGACATTCACCGATTATAATCGGTGAATGTCATTTTTAATTGGTTCAGCAGGTGAATGATCACCTGCTGAACCAATTAATAATGATGACTGCGGCGGCTCGCAGGCGAGTATTTCCAGCCCACAGGTAGCAGCACAGCTGTGCTAATCATACCCGGAGGGTACAGAGGATGAGGAGGACTCCAGGGACCCGAAGAGAAATTATTTTAGTGTTTTTATTAACAAGGACAATTTTTTTTTTTTACATTTTTTGTACAGATGTTACAGTCTGAACTCTTCTTTACAGAAATTACTTTAACCCCTCGCCTTCCAGAGGAGAAAGCGACAATTTTGAGAAAAAAAATCAAAACAATATTTTTTACTTTTTGCTATTAACCCCTCGCCCTCCAGAGGATTCCCCCCTCCCCCTTCCTGACCAGGCCATTTTTTTTGCGGTACAGAGCTGCATTATTTTAAAACTGGCAATTGCGCGGTCATGCAACGCTGTACATAAAAATACTTCTGTGCTGACAGCAAGCTCCCAGCTCAGAGACCAAGCTGTCCAAGACAGCTCTTGGTCCCAACTGGAGGGCTTCGTTTTAACCCCTCGCCCTCCAGAGGATTTACCCCCCTTCCTGACCAGGCCATTTTTTTTTGCGTTACAGCGCTGTATTATTTTAAACTGGCATTGCGCAGTCATGCAACGCTGTACATAAAAAATGTTTCTGTGCTGACAGCAAGCTCCCAGCTCAGAGACCAAGCTGTCCAAGACAGCTCTTGGTCCCAACTGGAGGGCTTCGCTTTAACCCCTCGCCCTCCAGAGGATTTACCCCCCTTCCTGACCAGGCCATTTTTTTTGCATTACAGCGCTGCATTATTTTAAACTGGCAATTGCACGGTCATGCAACGCTACACATAAAAATGTTTCTGTGCTGACAGCAAGCTCCCAGCTCAGAGACCAAGCTGTCCAAGACAGCTCTTGGTCCCAACTGGGAGGCTTCGTTTGAACCCTTCGCCCTCCAGAGGATTTACCCCCCTTCCTGACCAGGCCATTTTTTTTTTTGCGTTACAGCGCTGCATTATTTTAAACTGGCATTTGCGCAGTCATGCAACGCTGTACATAAAAATGTTTCTGTGCTGACAGCAAGCTCCCAGCTCAGAGACCAAGCTGTCCAAGACAGCTCTTGGTCCCAACTGGAGGGCTTCGTTTGAACCCCTCGCCCTCCAGAGGATTTCCCTCCATTCCTGACCAGGGCATTTTTTTTTTTTTTTTTCTAGATACGGCGCTGTGTTACTTTAACTGACAATTGCGCGGTCATGCAACGCTGCACCCAAATGAAATTTATGTCTTTTATTCTCCGCAAATAAAGCTTTCTTTCGGTGGTATTTGATCACCTGTGCGGTTTTTATTTTTTTGCGCTATAAAAACAAAAAGACCGACAATTTTGAAAACAAACAAACAATATTTTTTGACTGTTTGCTATTAACCTCTCGCCTACCGGGCACTTATACCTCCTTCCTGCCCAGTCCAATTTTTAGTGCTTTTGCACTTTGAAATTACAATTGCGCGGTCATGCAAAAATGAACCCATATGAGATTTTTGTCATTGTTTTCACACAAATAGAACTTTCTTTTGGTGGTATTTAATTGACGCTATTTTATTTTTTGCACTAAAAACAAAACAAAAAAAAAAAAAAAAAAAAAGCAAAAAATTTGAAGAAAAAAAAAAAAGTTTTTCTTTGTTTCTATTATAAAGGTTTGCAAACAGGCAATTTTTCTCCTTCACTGATGTGTGTTGATGAGGCTGCACTGATAGGCAGCACTGATGATGCTGAACTGATAGGCGGCACTGATGAGGTGGCACAGATGATGCTGAACTGATAGGATAAGGTGGCACTGATGATGCTGCACTGATAGGCGGCATGATGCTGAACTGATAGGCGGCACTGATGATGCTGTGATAGGCGGCACTGATAGCACTGATGAGGTGGCACTAATGATGCACTGATAGGCGGCACTGATGATGCTGAACTGATAGGCGGCACTGATGAGCACTGATGAGGTGGCACTAATAATGCTGAACTGATAGGCGGCACTGATGATGCTGAACTGATAGGCGGCACTGATCAGGTGGCACTGATGATGCTGAACCAGGGGCAGACTGACAACTCATGGGGCCCCCGGGCAATAGGGGATCATGGGGCCCCTGTGTCCTTGCCCACACTCAAAAAAATGACTATGAAAAAGGTACCAGGGGCATCTCATGGGGCCCCCTACTGACCCCGGGCCCTCAGGCAGTGCCCGAGTTTCCAAATGGTCATTCCGCCCCTGTGCTGAACTGATAGGCGGCACTGATATGCAGAAATGATAAGCACTGATGGGCGGCACTGATGATGCTGCCCTGATATGCAAAATGATAAGCACTGATGGGTGGCACTGATGGGCGGCACTGATGATGCAGCACTGATGGGCAGCACTGATGGGCGGCATGGATCATCTGATAATCGCCGGTTACGGGCAGTTCTTTCCTCACGCTGTGACCTGTTCCGCCCCTTAGCAGTGTTTCTTCTATAGGGTGATGCAGGAAGCGGCTAATATAACTTGAGCACTATTACGGAGAAGCCCCCTATGCATTAAGCAGGTGACAGGTCCTCTTTATGGAGACATCGGGGGGTTTATTGGACCCCCAATGTCTCCCCTGCAGCTAATCAAGCACATACGGTGCTACATATACAACACACAGGACTCGATCACTTACGTCGTTGGCCCAGGAGCCGGCGATGAGGAAGTTCCCCGGCATAGGCGGTGGGCTGAAGGACAGGCATGAGATGCTGTCGTCCGGTGGAGAGCTGACCTCTATGTCCTGAGGGTGACACAGACAGCGATTAGAGACGGGCACAGGGATCCCGGGTGACAACCAGCGACACCAACGCAGGTGACCTTACCTTCATAGGGTTATGGTTGTCGGCGTTGGTGCTACCGAACATGCTGGTCCCTCCAGTGCCGAAACCACCTGTGGAGCCAAATAAAACTCATCCTGGACCTGCCAACGTCAAAAAACATGGGGGTGAGAAACTCAGTGACACCATAGTGATCGGCAGAATGTTTTATTGCTGGGGAGACTTGTTGAGGTTCCGGGAACATGACAACACACCGCAGCACAAAGGGGGATCCGGGGCCTTACAGTTGTCACCAGAACAAAAACAGAGAAGAAATCTTCCAAATGGGTTCACCTGTTGTAATGAGAACTGTCTAAACTGGGTGGGACTTCTTCCTGTTATATGTCAGGGACAGGAAGTAGGGGGCAATCTGTCCAAGGGGACACAAGCGGTAATACAAAAATAAAAATCTTTCCTTGATCTGATTTCCTCAAGGCTTGTTCGCTGCAAGCTCAGCACCACGGTGGGGGAGGAGCGGGAGGAGTCAGCGTCAGGCAATTGGGGGCAACAGAAGGGACCCCATTACATCTACATTTCCCCAAAAGCCGGGGACACCTCTGCAGACCAGATCCCAGTGCAGCCAGGAAACTGTCATCTAATATCTACACATGGACTTCCCACCGCAGAGCTGCTGGATCTCCTCCATCTCAGAGAACAAACCAGAATCTGCCCATGTGTGCGTCCGGATCAATATCACCCCAAAACCTTTACATGTGACCCGCAAAAATCACACCACCTGTCCTCTGTCTGCAGCTTTTCTATCCTGTCACTGGATCCCCTCTGCTACTGAAACCACTCCCTCTTCCTCTAGGCTCCTCCTATCACTGGTCCCTCTTCCTCTAAGCTCCTCCCATCACAGCTCCCTCTTCCTCTAGACTCCTCCCATCACCACTACTTTTTCCTGTAGGCTTCTATCACCAGTCCCTCTTCCTCTAGGGTCCTCCCATTACAGCCCCTCTTTCTCTAAGCTCCTCCTATCACTGGTCCCACTTCCTCTAGGCTCCTCCTATCACTTGCCCCTCTTCCTGTAGTCTCCTCCCATCACCGGTCCTGCTTCCTCTAGGCTATGCCTATGACTGGTCCCTCTTCCTCTAAGCTCCTCCCATCATCAATCCCTCATCCTCTAGGCTCCTCCCATCACCTGTCCCTCTTCCTCTGGTCTCCTATCACGAGTCCCTCTTCCTAGACTTCGCCGGCGCCCCTATGGCCCATCCCTCCTATAGCCGGCGCCCCTGGGGCCCATCCCTCCTATAGCCGGCGCCCCTGGGGCCCATCCCTCCTATAGCCGGCGCCCCTGGGGCCCATCCCTCCTAAAGCCGGCGCCCCTCCCGCCTAAAGCCGGCGCCCCTGGGGCCCATCCCTCCTATAGCCGGCGCCCCTGGGGCCCATCCCTCCTATCACCGAACCCCCATAGCTCCTCCCTCCTATCGCTAGTGCCCCTGTGGCCCCTCCTTCCTATTACTGACCCCTCCCATCCCTGGTCCCCCTGTAGCCCCTCCCTCCTATCACTAGTCCCCTCCCTCTTTTCACTGGCCCCTCCCTCCAATCCCTGGTCCCCCTGTGGCCCCTCCCTCCTATCACTGGACCCTCTTCCTCTGGGGCCCTGTACAGACCAGTGTCTGTCTGTGATGACTGTACACCGATCCCCGGAGGAGGCCCGTCCCATAGAGGAAGTGTCCGGGAAAGGTGAGCCCAGCACCCCGGTGCTGTCAGCGGCTCACCCCCGAGACATGCTGCCTCTCCCAGTGCAGCCCGGCACCAGAGAACACACCCCGCCCTCTTACCTCTGACTATCTACCCTCCCATCCCCCACACTCACCGGATTTCTCCCGCCCGAATCCTCCAGGAGAACCCACACCGGCGCCAATCACCCGACCCGCGACACGTGACGTCACCTCTGCGCCGCTCTGACACTCACACAGCGACACCTGCTGGCCGGAGCGCGGAACTGATACACAGCGACACCTGCTGGTGAGAGCGCTAACTGACAGCCAACGTGCTCCTACTGGAGAGAAAACTGCATCAAATCCTCCCTGCTGGCTTCCCTCCGGTCTCGCCCAGTTGTACCGGCTCCTCTCCGGGACCGAAACGGCTTTCTGTGATGTCACTGCACACTGTGAGCTTCTCACCATGTGCTTTAGATGCTGCAGATAGCTGGAGGACGTCCAGCATCATCTAGTACTTTCCTCCCCAGCCTGACCCGCCCCTTCCATTCATTGGATTTCAGTTCTTTCAATCATGGAGGTTCAGCATCAGCACAGGGATGGTGGGAACTCCTCAATGGGCACAGCAGGTGTACAAACCCAAGAATTCAGCACAGGGATGGTGGGAACCCCTGATAATGGGCACAGCGGGTGTACAGACCTGGGAACTCAGCAAGGGATGGTGGGGATGAAACCCCTCATAATGGGCACAGCGGGTGTACAGACCCGGGAACTCAGCACAGGGATGGTGGGAACCCCTCATAATGGGCACAGCGGGTGTACAGACCCGGGAACTCAGCACAGGGATGGTGGGAACCCCTCATAATGGGCACATTGAGCTCTCCAGCATCCACCACACACTGAAATCTCAGCTTTGGGAGGACTGACCCTGTAGTACATATACATGACGTGTTCTATAAATAAATGTCGTTTTGATTCATTCCATTTAAATAACTTTATTCGTCAAGAAGAAGCAACCAGAACAAACATTAGAAGAACAAACAGCCTTTCATTTACAGGATCTGTTATACTCCGCCTACCTCTACATTCTGTACTGCTGATAAATGGCAGTTAGAGGACGACTGTCTGTATTCATCGCTCACAGACTACGCTCAGAGTACATCCTCTGCATATAACAGGCCGAACGTTCCCGATATCTGCAGGCGGCTCCTTAGATCCAGCCTCCGTATTGCAGCTTGTTGGGTAGGTAGACCCTCGTTAGGTAGGTGGGTGACAGAGACGTCAAGGCCTGGATTTCAGCTTTCCTGTTCCTGGAAGACATGATTTCCAGCTGGGGAGAGCAGAGGAGGGACATTAATACAGGACACACCTATGGGAGCAATCCCACCCTATCAGATCAGAGACTGGGATGGCCAGGACCCTCATACCTCCCGTTCCCTATTAGATGGAGGCTGTAATGAGCAGGACCCTCATACCTCCCGTTCCCTGTTAGATGGAGGCTGTAATGAGCAGGACCCTCATACCTCCTGTTCCGCCGTTACATGTAGGCTGTAATGAGCAGGACCCTCATACCTCCTGTTCCCTATTAGATGGAGGCTGTATTAAGCAGGACCCTCATACCTCCTGTTCCCTATTAGATGGAGGCTGTATTGAGCAGGACCCTCATACCTCCTGTTCCCTGTTAGATATGGGCTGTATTGAGCAGGACTCTCATACCTCCCGTTCCCCATTAGATGGAGGCTGTAATGAGCAGGACCCTCATACCTCCTGTTCCCTGTTAGATATGGGCTGTATTGAGCAGGACCCTCATACCTCCCGTTCCCCATTAGATGGAGGCTGTAATGAGCAGGACCCTCATACCTCCCGTTCCCCATTAGATGGAGGCTGTAATGAGCAGGACCCTCATAACTCCTGTTCCCCATTACATGTAGGCTGTATTGAGCAGGACTCTCATACCTCCTGTTCCCCATTAGATGGAGGCTGTAATGAGCAGGACCCTCATAACTCCTGTTCCCTCATACCTCCTATTAGATGGAGGCTGTAATGAGCAGGACCCTCATAACTCCTGTTCCCCATTAGATTGTAAGCTCATACGTTTTGTTCCCTGTCCTGTTTCCTGTTGATTATAACACATCCACATTTACAGCGCAGGACCTCAGAGCAGCAATGATGAATGGTGCTAGACATGGGAGATCCCACTTTGTGCTCCCATCACCCTGCCTGCTGACAGACCTCTCTCTTCCACAGCGGCTGGCTGGAAACATATGGCCTCCTCCCCAAGCTGCGCAGTTTTTTCTGGTCCTCCTCCGATAATGGGATCAAGGCTTGTTCGGGGATGTTTAACCTGAAACAGACATAAGATGAACTCAAATCCTGTAATTATCGGACGCAGGATGTCAGGTAATGTAAACCACTGAAAAAAAAACCAAAACAACCCCCCCCCCCCCCTGCGATGACTTCACTAATCAGATGTGATATGTTCTGCCAGAGTCTAATAACAAGCAGATTCCTCACCGGAGTACAGCGGCTTATTCCTCTTAGGGTCAGCAAGAACCTGTATTTCAAGTGGACGGGTCACTAAAGCAGAACTCTGAAGACTCAGGTCTCAAATTACACTCAGCTGTGCAGTGTGTGACATCGGATCCCCACCCCCTGCCTCTGTTAGCACATAAATTCAGAGAAAGAGAAGAGAGGGCTGCAGGTAAACAGGGACAACTTGTGTAGGAGGATTTGTTTAATTTCTGTGTGTCACACTTCACTGGGTATGTGGAAGGGTTTACACCCACCTTAACAGGGTGGACTGACAACTCATGGGGCCCCAGGGCAATAGGGGATCATGGGGCCCCTGTGTCCTTGCCCACACTCAAACCACAAGCACAAAAGCCTATGCAAGGTACCAGGGGCATCTCATGGGGCCCCCTACTGACCCCGGGCCCTCGGGCAGTGCTCGAGTGCCTGAATGGTCAGTCCGCCCCTGGTCATGTAGTCTTCCCGCCCAGTCTATTGTCAAATGTCGGCTGGACAGGACATTTTTCGTTCCAGCTGGATGTCTATGACGTCCTCCTATAATGCGCCTCGCGCACGGCACTGCAGCACGATATGTCAACGGCTGTGTTCAGTAGATCATGACAATTGTAAAAAATGAACGGCTTTGATTCACGCCATTCACTGTGTACAACTGTGCTGCTAGCTGTGGTTGGTCACAGTTATCACATGGTACAGAAAGGGCCAATCACAGCCCATCTGTACCATGTGATTAGCTGTGGCCAATCACAGCTAATCCAATACACACTGAATGAATTTCATTCAGTAAAAATTGTTTGCTTATACCAGTGAATTTCACTGCTATAAGCAATCGTAATATGCAAAAAAAAATCCTGATCACTTCCCCAGAGTAGTGCAATAGTACCATGGTAACACTGCATTTCTCTGGTCACAGTGTGTTAAAAAAATTGCAAAAAGAAAAGAAATGTAATAAAAAGAAAACAAAATTTAAAACATTAAATATATTTTTTTCTTATAAAAGAAATGAAGAAAAACAAGTTTTTTTTGTTTTTTTCAGTCTTATTTTTTAGTTTATTTGGAAAAAAATAAAAAACCTCAGTGGTGGATGTATAACGCCAAAAACTCTATTTGTGTGAATAAAATGCTGAAAATTTCATATGGCTACAGTGCTGCATGACTGCGCAGTTGTCATTCAAAGTGTGACAGCGGAAGAAGTTGAAAATTGGCCTGGACAGGAGGTATTGGTATCACACTTCCTCCCCCTGGCTTGGGCGATGTGAAAATCAAGTCGTGTGCAGCGACAGACTTCCCTTTTTATGGAACGAAGAGAACAGATCACCAACCATCGCAGAGATCAAACTTCAGGTTGATAAACCCCTTCAATCACCCCTATCCAGTATCAGAATGCCTTTTGCCAGGGGCGGACTGACCATTTGGAAACTCGGGCACTGCCCGAGGGCCCGGGGTCAGTAGGGGGCCCCATGAGATGCCCCTGGTACCTTTTTCATAGGCTTTTTTGAGTTTGGGCAAGGACACAGGGGCCCCATGATCCCCTATTGCCCGGGGGCCCCATGAGTTGTCAGTCCGCCCCTGCCTTTTGCACAAATGACCCCAAGCTGGCCAGTTTTGAGAAACCTTCCTATTAATTCATAAATAATCTGCATATGCAGGACGCCTAGGCTGGCCACACACGTGGCAATTTTAATTTCCATTTTTTAAAAGGAAACTGAAGACAAAAAACGGTGGTTTTGATTGATCATGAAGGGATGGAAAGTTCCGCGATCGAGCGCTGTGGATAAATCTGATCAGTATCTTTCAATAAACTGCGCCGAAGATGTCGGTTCAATGCCCAATTTCAACTTCACAATCGAAGAACTGTGGGTGGTCGATCAAACTCATGGGTGGAAGTTTATTTTCTGGCTATTAGGCTGGATTCACACTTGTAGCTTGAAGCGCAAAGCTAAAAAAAAAAAAAAAACTGAGGAGGAGGAAAAAAAAAAATGGAGATGGTTTACATCTCCACTCCAAGTCACCTGAAGCCAAACGCCCGAAACTCATACAAGTTCCGGAGCTTTTTATTGTCGCTCAGTTCGGACAGATTTTAGCGTTTTTAATTCCATAGAAATTAATGGAAACGCGCGATTCACACGTTTTTGCTCGCATTTGTGCGCGATTTTCTGCTCAAATGCAAAAATGTTTTTTAAAAAAAAAAAAACTAGTAATAATATATGCATAAATAAAAATAAAAGAAATAAAATAAATACACATGTAAATTAAAATAATCATAAATAAATAAAATTAATATTATGTAATAATAAAAAAAAAGTAATTAACCCCTAAACTTAACCCCCTAACCCTAGAAAAAAAAACCACATTAAATAAAATAAGAATAATCATTTATTAATATTATTAATGTACTTATTTTTTTGGTTAGGGTGTTTTATTATAATAATAATAATTTTTTTATTATTAATAATAATATTAATATTATACAGGATTTATATATTATTATTATACAGGATTTATATATTATTATTATTATACAGGATTTATATATTATTATTATACAGGATTTATATATTATTATTATACAGGATTTATATATTATTATTATTATACAGGATTTATATATTATTATTATACAGGATTTATATATTATTATTATACAGGATTTATATATTATTATTATACAGGATTTATATATATTATTATTATTATACAGGATTTATATATTATTATTATTATACAGGATTTATATATTATTATTATACAGGATTTATATTATTATTATTATTATACAGGATTTATATATTATTATTATACAGGATTTATATATTATTATTATTATACAGGATTTATATATTATTATTATACAGGATTTATATATTATTATTATACAGGATTTATATATTTTATTATTATTATACAGGATTTATATATTATTATACAGGATTTATATATTATTATTATTATACAGGATTTATATATTATTATTTTACAGGATTTTTATGGTGCCAACAGTTTGCTCAGCACTTTACAATATAATGGGAGACAAAACAGCAACAATACAGTTCAATACAAGAGGGATAGGAGGGCCCTGATCCTGGGAGCTGACAATCTAAGAGTTTAATCATTTATTTATTTTTGGTTAGGGGGTTTTATTATTAATCACTTGCCCTCCAGAGGATTTACCCCCCTTAATGACCAGGCCTCTTTTTGTTACTCAGCGCTGCACTAATTCAACTGATAATTGCTCTGTTACCGACTTCCAGTCCAAAATGAACCATTCCCATATCTGTATGTCCTCAGGAACAAGTGGTTATACCAGCATTGTTCTGTCCTCGCTACACGTTCCCTGTGTGTAACCCGACAAACCCACCTATTCTGCAATAAACCAGACTGAATGTAATCTTGAAGATTTATTATTATTATTATTATTATTAATAATAATTAATAATAATAATAATAATAAAATAATAATAATTATTATTATTATTATTATTATTATTATTATTAATAATATAATAATAATATTATTATTAATTATTATTATTATTATTATAATATTAATAATAAGAAGAATGTTATTGATATTATTATTATTATTAATATTATTATTAATAATAATAATAATAATAAATAATAATATATTTTTAAAGGGTTTTGGGGTTAATTGTTATTTATTTATTATTATTCATTTGTTGTATTTATTTATTATTTATGTATGATTATGTTTATTTTAAATTTATTTATTCATGTATTTTTATTATTATTAACACCCTAACAAAAAAAATTTTTTAATAATAAGCCAACATATAAAATATTAACCCCACTCTACCCTACGCTAACAAAAAAAAAAATTATAAGAAATGAATAATAATAATAATAATAAAAAAAAAAAAAAAAATCAAAGCTGATGGAAAAGCTAAAGAAGCTGAAAAACCTAGCAACAAATGATGCAACGGATGATATTTTTCTCTATTGGCTAATTAAAAAAAAAAAAATCTCAAAAATGCTGTATGAAAATGCGCAAAACCGTGTAAAAAAACGCTCAAAGACGCTACGCTCAAGTGTGAATCCAGCCTAAGGGCTCGTTCACATCATGGTGCACAGATGTCAGTTCTACAAGGACACAACGAAATCAATGGTTCTCTATGTGCCCTGTTCACACCACAACACTGGAATCGCATGCGGATTTGTCCTGCGCAGGAATCTGCAGCGTGCATGAAAACTGATGTTTCTGCACATGAAATCTGCATGTCAGTTTCCATCGGTTTTTCTGCACGTCTGGTGTGAACGAGGCCTTACTTGCGATCGTCCTCCAGGCTCTCCGTGGATTGTCACCTGCAATCTCTCTGCACATTAATGAGTGCCGGGTCTCCCTCACCTCTCTATGTCAGAAGGCAGCAAGCCGAGCCAAGCTACAGATGGGACGGTTAGACTGCGAGCCTCGAAGGACATGGACTGTAAGATAACGAGCAAGACGTGTTAGTGGTGGCAACAACACCGAGTCTAAAGAGAACCTGTCCTAAGCCATTACCCCTGTGAAATCGAATTGTATGTGCCTCCTGTCCGTGCATCTATCAGTGTCTCCCACAAAACTGCTACCCTGAGAGATCCACGTCTTCAATTGTACCTGAACTCTTGATGCAAAAAAGGTTCCTTTTTTGGTTAGCTAGAACAGTGGTCTCCAAACTGCAGCCCAGGGGCCAGATGTGGCCCTCTACTTGCCTTTATCTGGCCCTTCGAGGCATTATTCCTTCCACTGACACCAACAATGAGGCACTATTCCTTACAGCGGTCTCTGAACTGCGGCCCAGGGGCCAGATGTGGCCCTCTACTTGCTTTTTTCTGGCCCACGGGGCACTGATCCTCCCACTGACACCAATGATGGGGCACTCATCCTCCCACCAATGACACCAATGATGGGGCACTATTCCTCCCACTGACACCACTATTCCTCCCACTGATACCAATGATGGGGCACTATTCCTCCCACTGACACCAATGATGGGGCACTATTCCTCCCACTGACACCAATGATGGAGCACTATTCCTCCCACTGATACCAATGATGGGGCACTATTCCTCCCACTGATACCAATGATGGGACACTATTCCTCCCACTGACACCAATGATGGGACACTATTCCTCACTATTCCTCCCACTGATACCAATGATGGGGCACTATTCCTCCCACTGACACCAATGATGGGGCACTATTCCTCCCACTGACACCAATGATGGGGCACTATTCCTCCCACTGATACCAATGATGGGGCACTATTCCTCCCACTGACACCAATGATGGGGCACTATTCCTCCCACTGACACCAATGATGGGGCACTATTCCTCCCACTGACACCAATGATGGGACACTATTCCTCCCACTGACACCAATGATGGGGCACTATTCCTCCCACTGACACAAATGATGGGGCACTATTCCTCCCACTGACACCAATGATGGGACACTATTCCTCCCACTGAGACCAATGATGGGCACTATTCCTCCCACTGAGACCAATGATGGGGCACTATTCCTCCCACTGACACCAATGATGGGGCACTATTCCTCCCACTGAGACCAATGATGGAGCACTATTCCTCCCACTGATACCAATGATGGGGCACTATTCCTCCCACTGAACCAATGATGGGGCACTATTCCTCCCACTGACACCAATGATGGGGCACTATTCCTCCCACTGATACCAATGATGGGGCACTATTCCTCCCACTGATACCAATGATGGGGCACTATTCCTCCCACTGACACCAATGATGGGGCACTATTCCTCCCACTGATACCAATGATGGGGCACTATTCCTCCCACTGACACCAATGATGGGGCACTATTCCTCCCCCACTGACACCAATGATGGGACACTATTCCTCCCACTGATACCAATGATGGGGCACTATTCCTCCCACTGACACCAATGATGGGGGGCGGACTGACCGTTTGGAAACTCGGGCACGGCCCGAGGGCCCAGGGTCAGTAGGGGGATCATGAGATGCCCCTGGTACCTTTTTTTATAGGCGTTTTTGAGTTTGGGCAAGGACACAGGGGCCCCATGATCCCCTATTGTCCGGGGGCCCCATGAGCTGTCAGTCCGCCCCTGGATGGGACACTTTTCCTCGCACTGACACAATGATGGGACACTATTCCTCCCACTGATACCAATGATGGGGCACTATTCCTCCCACTGACACCAATGATGGGACCAGGGGCGGACTGACCATTTGGAAACTCGGGCACGGCCCGAGGGCCCAGGGTCAGTAGGGGGATCATGAGATGCCCCTGGTACCTTTTTTATAGGGGTTTTTGAGTTTGGGCAAGGACACAGGGGCCCCATGATCCCCTATTGTCCGGGGGCCCCATGAGCTGTCAGTCCGCCCCTGGATGGGACACTGGACACAAATGATGGGACACTATTCCTCGCACTGACACCAATGATGGGGCACTATTCCTCCCTATATCTCCCAGCTGGCCTGCAATGCACTTCTCCCTGGGAAAAGTCTGTCTCAGCCCCCCACTTTCCCCCAGGACTAGGCAGCTAGGAAATGATGCTTTGCTTCATAAGTACTCACCACAGATCCATACTTGTAGATGCACATGATCTCCATCCCTGGGACAAACACAAAGCAGTCACATGGAATATATTGGTAAGGCACACAGTAAGGTACGTGATTACATAATTCCTTTTTGTCCATTATTCAGAACATGATGGGGCCAATTCACTAAGCTGCTGGAGGTATTTTATCTTTGTTGCTTTATCTCATCATGAAATCATCCCATTCATGTACATAAATAATGTGACCCCCCCCCCCCTTCCCTAGGTCAGGCATCACTAAATAGTGCACCATGGTCCGGATCCAGACTGAGCCGCTGTCACATCCGGACCCGCAGTCGCGCCATTTAGGAGCCTTCCTTCCCCTGGCCTCCACATCTGTCCTTCTAAAGGCAGCGCAGAGAGCGGAAAGCAGGGGGTAACAATGAACAGAGAGAGGGAGGCACAGCAGAACTAAATGGATGGGAGTGGGAGCTGCTGGAGTTGGAGTTAACTTACCAGATTAACTACCAGGTGATTGGTTGCTAGGACATTTGGCTGTCCTAGCAACCAATAACCAGCTTGTTAATAGGAAAAGTTAACCTCGGCAGCCCTCCCATCCAGTGCTGCTGTACCTCCTGGCCGCTCTCTGCAAGGTAGGCAAAAGGACATGGTTGTGAAGTGGAGTGGGCAGGGGGGGGGGATGTGAAAAGGGGGGCAGTGCTGTGATGGAGGGGAGATGTATTGGGGGTCAGTGCTGTGTGGGGAGATGTAAAGGGGGGCAGTGCTGTGATGGAGGGGAGATGTATTGGGGGTCAGTGCTGAGTGGGGAGATGTAAAGGGGGGCAGTGCTGTGAGGGGGAGATGTAAAGGGGGCAGTGCTGTGATGGGAAAGTATTGGGAGGCAGTGCTGTGGGGGGGATATGTAAAGGGGAGCAGTGCTGTGGGAGGTGAAGTAAAGGGGGTCGGTGCTGTGGGGGGAGATATAAAGGGGAGCAGTGCTGTGGGAGGTGAAGTAAAGGGGGAACAGGGCTGTGGGGGGATATGTAAAGGGGAGCAGTGCTGTGATGGGGGGGGGGGGGAGATGTATTGGGGGTCGGTGCTGTGGGGGGAGATATAAAGGGGAGCAGTGCTGTGATGGGGGGGGAGATGTATTGGGGGTCGGTGCTGTGGGGGGAGATATAAAGGGGAGCAGTGCTGTGATGGGGGGGAGATGTATTGGGGGTCGGTGCTGTGGGGGGAGATATAAAGGGGAGCAGTGCTGTGGGAGGTAAAGTAAAGGGGGGACAGGGCTGTGGGGGATATGTAAAGGGGGGCAGTGCTGTGGTGTGGGGAGGGGTCATGTAAAGAGGGGGGCAATGCTGTGGGGAATGGGTGATCTTAAGGGGGCAGTGCTGTGTGTGGGGGGGTGATATAAAGGGAGGGGGGGTCAGTGCTGTGGGGAGGGGGGGGGGATCATGTGAAGAAGGGGGTAATGCTGTGGGTTAGGATGATGTGAAGGGGGCAGTGGATACTAATGTGAAGGGTAAACCGATGTGAAGTGGGTGGGTGTGATGTGTGGCGGACTGAGGACACTGATGTGGGAACCGGATTGTGATATTAGGAGTGGGCTGTGATGGGAAGGATCTGTGACATCGTACAAAGAAGCAATTTGGACCTCTGCTGGAAGAAACGTTTGCTGATTTGACCTCCATGAATTTTAATTCAATACCCCTGCCCTAGGTCATTACAGAACTCTGTAAGGAATTTAGAGAAGACTGCAGATACACAGGTACAACTTCTGTAGGAGGATTTGTTTCATCTCTGTGTATCACCTGAGGCCAGTCACTTCACTGGGTATATGTGAGGGTTTACAACCACTTTAAGCTACAACCAGTTGGTTGCTTTGGTCCAATCAGAGTTCACTGATACATCCCCCACCTTGTAGATTACAGTACCATGTGGGTCGCCGTCCACCAGAGTGAAAATCGGAATCTGAAAAGTGTCCCACAGCTTGCGGACGAAAAGCCTGGTGTTCAGATCCGGAACTCCTTTACCCTGCCAACAAGACACACACAGGAGGTTACAAAACCCGAGTCCTGAGGTCAGCCCAGCAGACAACACAGTCTCATCTCACCGTGATGAGGGATGCAGGGGCCGCACCTCCCACAAAAATCGTCATCGAGGAGCCTCTGGAAAGTGGCGTCTTTTTCAATAACAAGGACAAAGCGGGCATGGGTTCTCATGTCTCCAGGGTGAAGGAGGAATAACAACTGCACAACATATATTCAAATCTTAATTTTCTCTACTTCATGTCCTCTTATTGGCCAGTGAGGCTGACATGTTTCAGGCATTATAGGGGGCCCGCTCCATCAGGGCTTCAAATGTTAAATGGAAATACCCAGAATGTAGAGGACTCCTAAAGTGGCTGCAAAGCCTTCAGGTTTTTTGTATTCTATGCAGTTAGGGTATAAACCTTCAGTGCCTGGGATCCCCCCCAGACCCCCTTATACTTACCTGAGCCCTACTGTGATCCAGCACTGTGCACGAGAGTAGTGGCTCTCCTAGCTCTGTCTCTCTCATCACTGGGCAGATCGATAGCCATTGGCTCCTGTTGCTGTCAATCAAACTCTTTGATGAGGCAGTGGGGGGGGCCGGGCCTTGTCCCACTGTCTTTGTCTATGGAAGCAGGAAACTGCGCTCAGGAGCGAGCCCGCACAAGTGCCCCCATAAGAAGCGGCTTCCTATGGGGCAGTGGCTGAAGAGGAGGCCCCAGGAGTGTCGGCGGGGGACCCAAGAAGAGGAGGCTGCTCTGTGCAAAACCATTACAGAGCAGGTAAGTATGACATGTTTATCTACTTCTCGACTTCAGCCCGTCAGATTTTGTTCGTGGGATCACAGCCGGCGGCCATAGCCGCGAGCACTGATCATCAGAATACAGAATACACTGATCATCAGAATACAATAGCTCAGCAGGAGGGATTCCCCCATCAACCCTGACTGGGTTGATGGGGGAATTGAGCAATTTTCTTGCCTTCAACCCGTGGTTGAAGGCAAGAAAATTGCACAATCTATGGCCACCAATTCTCTCCAAAGCAAAAAAAAAGCCTATAAAATGTAAAATGTAGTGCACCCGCTTGACATTTTCCTGTAGTTGTGAAGCTATTCCATGTGTAGGATGATGGTGGATCAGAGGCCACAACCTCCAGTTGAGTCACAGCCCAGGAAAGCCGATGCAGCTAGTATCTTTACAGACTTTGATTTGGAGTTTCCTCGCCTTCTGGGAGTTTTAATTTCACGCCTGGTTTACCCGCAGCTCTTAAAGGATACCCAGGACTCCGTCTACATTTGATGGAATGAGAACTCCCTAAAAAAAACACAAAAAAAAACAAGGAAACTGGTTTGGGTTAAAAAAACACCCCGCTCATAAATATTCCTCTCAGGCTAAAAAAAACATTCTCTTTGTTTTGTTACAAGCAGTATTGTCATGATTCTTTTCCCGTGTTTAAAAAAAAAAAACTATTCTTTGAAGAACTGATCCAATGGCAGTGTAATACAGTACCGATGGCGGATGTATGAACTGATGGCAGGAAGGCAAGCTCCTACACATTATCCACATGTCTGCAGTGGCAGGGCTCTGGTTTCATACATTGTGTTTGACATTTGGGTGTTAATGTAAATTCAGTCAGCATTTAAAATGTAAGTGTCATTTCAAAAGCCATTTTCAATACTTCAGAATATTTGGTGATCCTGCCATGAAAATGCTTATTCTGGCACTTCCTGTTATAGGATGACAATGCCTGGTCTCCCTGTTGTGCTCCTGCATTGTCCCACCACATGGTGACTACAATGGCCATTCCAACACATATTCCGCAGGCAAGGTTCACTGTTGTCACTATCAAGGAACCTGCCCTAGGAAAGGCCATGCTGCCATTGCTGGAGCGCATGTAGACAGGAAGTGGCTGAAACAAGCGATCAGAAGCATTGAGACAAATGTACAAATTTAGTAAAAAGAGGCAGTTGTTTATGATACATGGCATTTAGGCAAACAAAACATTATTCAGTTGGGCTCCTTCAATACAAGGCGGACTCCGCCTGCGATCTGTCTGCTCAGCAGGGGGTCTGTCTGCTGATCGCCACTAAGCAAGCAGATGACTAATGCAGGCCATAGATGGGTCGTTTATCGGCCGATTTTTCGTGCGGAGGAAATATTCACACCGTTAGTGGGGCCGGCCCGCCCGTCGGCCGTTTTTTCGTGGATCGTCTCATTTACTTTTATCGATCATGCTGGAAAATCCACAAAAAACTGACGTTTTTCGTGGACGATGGTGGCAGCATCGGCAACGGCACAGACCGATTTTTTGTTTATCGGACGACAAACGGCCCGTCTCATGCGGAGCGGAGCGGACACAGACACAGCTCGGTCTCGGCCTCCCAAATGCCATTCGATTTGACCCACTGGACGGAAGGGGAACGGATCCACATCCATCTGTTTTTGGCGGATCGGATCGTATGTAGGCAGGTACAGGGGCGGACTGACAACTCATGGGGTCCCCGGGCAATAGGGGATCATGGGGCCCCTGTGCCCTTGCCCAAACTCAAAAAATCCTATGAAAAAGGTACCAGGGGCATCTCATGGGGCCCCCTACTGACCCCGGGCGCTTGGGCAATGCCCAAGTTTCCAAATGGGCAGGTATAAATGGGCATGTGTCCGTTTACACCCGCCGCTCCACAAAGAAGAATGGAGCTTTCAATCGGGTACGCCTGAAAAACCAGACAGGCGGACCCGATGGGAACGTTCGTGAAAGGGGCCTTGGGGTTTACATTTTTTGTTAGTGTACTGTCTCAGCAGGGCTGGGGGATGGTCGTGGAATGCCTTTGGTGGTACTTTGGTAACGTTTATTGAGCTGAAATGCCTACCAGCCTTCCCTCGGTGCCAACTGCATCAACAGCCAAGACTGTGGACAAATCCCGAAATGCTATGACAGGACATATAGACACCTTACAACTTTCCAAGAGGCCAGTACATAGTTTGCAGACCCTATACCACTCCATAGATGATTCTAGAAATCTACAAAACGTTATGTATGGACAGGTGGTATCAGCTGTGTAACCTGTACCATACATACTGAAGAATGAGTGTTGCAGATCACCCTTGTCCCGTCTTCCTCGGTGAACACCAGATCTCCAGCCACGCAGCCTTTGGAGGTAGAGAGCTGAAAGGAGAAGCACAGTTAGGGGTAGACGTACAAAGTGGACAATCTGATTTCCAGCAAACATTCTCTGTGGGTGAACCATCCAGGCCCATGTATTTCAAATCAAAGCGATTGCTTCTCTATCAAAGAATGTTTGGTGAAAGTCACATTTACTGCTTTATGAATAATTCAATTAGTGTTTGCAGATAATGTGGCTTATTCTTAGATTGTAAGCTCCCAGGATCAGGGCCGTCCTAACCCTCTTGTATTGAACTGTATTGTCTCCCGTTATATTGTAAAGCGCTGAGAAAACTGTGGGCGCCATAAATCCTGTAAAATGATATATAATACTCCTCCTACCAGTCCATCACCCCTCAGTTGTCACCTTTTGTACCACTAGCCCCTCCCTCTTAGATTGTCAGCTCCCAGGATCAGAGCCCTCCTAACCCTTGTAAAACGCTGAGCAAACTGTGGGCGCCATATATCCTGTATAATAATAATAATATTCCTCCTACCAGTCCATCACCCCACAGTTGTCACCTTTTGTACCACTAGCCCCTCCCTTTTAGATTGTAAGCTCCCAAGATCAGAGCCCTCTAGTATTGAACTGTGGTGTCACTATGGTGACACTGCACTGCTAGGGTGACAGTACGTTAAAAAAAAAAAAATAAATAATAATATAAAAAAAAAAAATAAAAAAACATGTAAAAAAAAAATTTTTTTTTTTAATTAGAAATTTTGGTTATAAACTAATTTGGGTTATGTTTTTACTAAAAAGAAAACTGAATACATTTTGGCCAAGATTTATAAAGAAAGATTATTTATTTGCAAAATTTTATAAGAAAAACACTTTTTTCTAAATTTTTGGACTTTTTCATTTATATAGCAAAAAAAAAATAAAGATCCCAGTGGTGGATAAATACCACCAAAATAATGTTTTATCTGTCTCAATAAATGCTAAAAAATTCATATGGGTACAGTGTCGCATGACCGCGCAATTGTCATTCAAAGTGTGATAGCGCTGAAAGCTGAAAATTGGCCTGGGCAGGAAGGGGGACAGGAAGGGGGAAAGTGTCCGGACTGGAAGGGGGGAAAGTGTCCGGACTGGAAGGGGGGAAAGTGTCCGGACTGGAAGGGGGGAAAGTGTCCGGACTGGAAGGGGGGAAAGTGTCCGGACTGGAAGGGGGGGAAAGTGTCCGGACTGGAAGGGGGGAAAGTGTCCGGACTGGCAGGGGGTGTCCGGAAGGGGGGAAAGTGTCCGGACTGGAAGGGGGGAAAGTGTCCGGACTGGAAGGGGGGAAAGTGTCCGGACTGGAAGGGGGGAAAATGTCTGGGGGGGAAAGTGTCTGGACTGGAAGCGCTTAAAGCCAACGTTGGACAGCTGCAGCATGGAGGTGAATATGTGTGTTTGTTTATTTTCAATCGCCATACTTCTCCTTTACAGGGCCATTTGAACAAAAAGTTATTCAGCAGCAGTATTTTTATCTATTTTTGGATGCTCCAACAGCAAGATTCCCCTACCATAATTCCAGACTCGGTTTCCTGGGAGTTTTGGGTCCCCCCCCACCTTTGTGTGTTCCAGCTCCTCCTGTTACCTTCTCCTTAATAAAAACAAATATAAAATGTAGACTTTTGGTGGACTGACCCTTTAAGAGAAATGCTAAAAGTTAAGTGACTGCCAGGGGCGGACTGACAACTCATGGGGCCCCCGGGCAATAGGGGATCATGGGGCCCCTGTGTCCTTGCCCAAACTCAAAAAAGCCTATGAAAAAGATACCAGGGGCATCTCATGGGGCCCCCTACTGACCCCGGGCCCTCGGGCAGTGCCCGAGTTTCCAAATGATCAGTCCGCCCCTGGTGACTGCTATGATTCACTGAACATCAAGCCTGTTCTTTGAACTGATTTATTGAAGAATCTGCTCTGTGGCATAAAAAATCACTAGTGACTGAGAAATGATACCACAACGTACGACATGTAAGCTCCTTCTGGGGAATCTTCAGCATGCAGGAAATATCTGTGATAATACTGTCCACTGTCCTCTGGCTTCCATAGAGCTGAACATTGTCATAAAAGATGTCCCTAAGGAATAAATCACATTAAAATGACAGTTTGTTCTGTAAAGGTGGCCGCGCTTTAAGCCCCTGCTGCCCAACCTCCAGCGAAGGGCTGCATATGGCCCACTGGCACTTATTGTGTGGCCCTTGGGGCCCCTGCAGGCAGTAACCTGTGTTTCCCTTACCTAGTTTCTTACTCAGAAAAACATCTTTGCACTTAGTTCTAGGAGGTAAACAGTTTGTTTTTTTACTTTCACACCATCTTACATTTGTCATTGCCATCTATCCCTTTCCTCTTTTTTATTATTTTTTCATTCTAAAATGTTTTACAATGGATCTGACTGGGAAAAAAGTCACGTGTGGAGCTAGAGGGAGCAGAAGTGTGGAAGCATTAATCTGAAAAGTGATGAGACAGCAGAGATCTCCAACAGTCTCATGTAATGTATTCCAGTCTATGACCTTCTCTTCAAACATGTCACCGCTCTCCAACAAGTGCATGTTCACAGCCTGAAACAACCCCTGTAGCATGTTCATAGTCTCCAACCACCAACTGTAGCGGGTTCACAGTCTCTGAAATCCCCACAGTGTGTTCACAGTATTCAACAACCCCTGTACCATGTTCACAGTATTCAACAACCCCTGTACCATGTTCATAGTGTCCAACAACCCCTGTACCATGTTCACAGTATTCAACAACCCCTGTACCATGTTCACGGTGTCCAACAACCCCTGTACCATGTTCACGGTGTCCAACAAGCCCTGTACCATGTTCATAGTGTCCAACAAGCCCTGTACCATGTTCATAGTGTCCAACAAGCCCTGTACCATGTTCATAGTGTCCAACAAGCCCTGTACCATGTTCATAGTGTCCAACAACCCCTGTACCATGTTCATAGTGTCCCACAACCCCTGTACCATGTTCATGGTGTCCCACAACCCCTGTACCATGTTCATAGTGTCCCACAACCCCTGTACCATGTTCATGGTGTCCCACAACCCCTGTACCATGTTCATGGTGTCCCACAACCCCTGTACCATGTTCATAGTGTCCCACAACCCCTGTACCATGTTCATGGTGTCCCACACAACCCCTGTACCATGTTCATGGTGTCCCACAACCCCTGTACCATGTTCATGGTGTCCCACAACCCCTGTACCATGTTCATGGTGTCCCACAACCCCTGTACCATGTTCATAGTGTCCCACAACCCCTGTACCATGTTCATAGTGTCCCACAACCCCTGTACCATGTTCATGGTGTCCCACAACCCCTGTACCATGTTCATGGTGTCCCACAACCCCTGTACCATGTTCATGGTGTCCCACAACCCCTGTACCATGTTCATGTGTCCAACAACCCCTGTACCATGTTCATAGTGTCCAACCCCTGTACCATGTTCATAGTGTCCAACAACCCCTGTACCATGTTCATGGTGTCCCACAACCCCTGTACCATGTTCATGGTGTCCAACAACCCCTGTACCATGTTCATAGTGTCCAACAACCCCTGTACCATGTTCATAGTGTTCAACAACCCCTGTACCATGTTCATGGTGTCCAACAACCCCTGTACCATGTTCATAGTGTCCAACAACCCCTGTACCATGTTCATAGTGTTCAACAACCCCTGTACCATGTTCATAGTGTCCAACAACCCCTGTACCATGTTCATGGTGTCCAACAACCCCTGTACCATGTTCATGGTGTCCAACAACCCCTGTACCATGTTCATGGTGTCCAACAACCCCTGTACCATGTTCATAGTGTCCCACAACCCCTGTACCATGTTCATGGTGTCCCACAACCCCTGTACCATGTTCATGGTGTCCCACAACCCCTGTACCATGTTCATAGTGTCCCACAACCCCTGTACCATGTTCATGGTGTCCCACAACCCCTGTACCATGTTCATGGTGTCCCACAACCCCTGTACCATGTTCATAGTGTCCCACAACCCCTGTACCATGTTCATGGTGTCCCACAACCCCTGTACCATGTTCATGGTGTCCCACAACCCCTGTACCATGTTCATGGTGTCCCACAACCCCTGTACCATGTTCATGGTGTCCCAACAACCCCTGTACCATGTTCATAGTGTCCCACAACCCCTGTACCATGTTCATGGTGTCCCACAACCCCTGTACCATGTTCATGGTGTCCCACAACCCCTGTACCATGTTCATGGTGTCCCACAACCCCTGTACCATGTTCATGGTGTCCAACAACCCCTGTACCATGTTCATGGTGTCCCACAACCCCTGTACCATGTTCATGGTGTCCCACAACCCCTGTACCATGTTCATGGTGTCCAACAACCCCTGTACCATGTTCATGGTGTCCAACAACCCCATGTTCACCATGTTCATGGTGTCCAACAACCCCTGTACCATGTTCATAGTGTCCAACAACCCCTGTACCATGTTCATGGTGTCCAACAACCCCTGTACCATGTTTACATGTGTCCAACAACCCCTGTACCATGTTCATAGTGTCCAACAACCCCTGTACCATGTTCATGGTGTCCAACAACCCCTGTACCATGTTCATAGTGTCCAACAACCCCTGTACCATGTTCATAGTGTCCAACAACCCCTGTACCATGTTCATAGTGTCCAACAACCCCTGTACCATGTTCATAGTGTCCAACAACCCCTGTACCATGTTCATAATGTCCAACAACCCCTGTACCATGTTCATAGTGTCCAACAACCCCTGTACCATGTTCATAGTGTCCAACAACCCCTGTACCATGTTCATGGTGTCCAACAACCCCTGTACCATGTTCATAGTGTCCAACAACCCCTGTACCATGTTCATAGTGTCCAACAACCCCTGTACCATGTTCATAGTGTCCAACAACCCCTGTACCATGTTCATGGTGTCCAACAACCCCTGTACCATGTTCATGGTGTCCAACAACCCCCTGTACCATGTTCATGGTGTCCAACAACCCCTGTACCATGTTCATGGTGTCCAACAACCCCTGTACCATGTTCATAGTGTCCAACAACCCCTGTACCATGTTCATAGTGTCCAACAACCCCTGTACCATGTTCATGGTGTCCAACAACCCCTGTACCATGTTCATGGTGTCCAACAACCCCTGTACCATGTTCATGGTGTCCAACAACCCCTGTACCATGTTCATGGTGTCCAACAACCCCTGTACCCATGTTCATGGTGTCCAACAACCCCTGTACCCCCTGTACCATGTTCATGTGTCCAACAACCCCTGTATCATGGTGTCCAACAACCCCTGTATCATGTTCATAGTGTCCAACAACCCCTGTACCATGTTCATAGTGTCCAACAACCCCTGTACCATGTTCATAGTCTCCAACAACCCCTGTACCATGTTCATAGTCTCCAACAACCCCTGTACCATGGTCTCCAACAATCCACTATAATAGGTTCACAGTCTCCAATAACCCCTGTAGCATGTTCACAGTCTTGGGCCAACTCCTATTGCATGTGTGCAATCTCTGATAGCTCTGTGTGGCTTTACAATCACTGAACATTATGTGGGACCCTTTGGTGATGTATCGGCTGCACTTATGACCCCCCGTAGCTAGAAAGTTCACCAGCACTGCTTCAAATGAACCTGTGTGATAATGGAGGAAGAGTTAGAGTACAACCAGAGTGCAATAATGTACTGCTAATGCATGCATCTAGCATCATCCATTCAGTCTAGTTGAGGTGCTGAGGAAGTAGATTCGGCAGGAAGGCCCAGACTACCCTGTGTCATGTAACAACCCTGGGGATTCTGAGGTGTTCCAAGGCCAACAAGAAGATATAACCCCTCTGGTGCCTTCTGGGTCTGCCCTGGGCCTTTATCCCATTGATCAAGGCTGGGAGGAACTCTGCTGGTGACACAATACAAGTGATACACTGACTGCTAACACAACACTCACCTTTTAGTGGCATATGTGTCGGTCTGTACTAGCTTGTAGATCACAGACAGGATTTTCATGGTAAGGGCTAAGGGTCCAAGAAAACAACATCGTTATTCATGATTTATGACCAATTCCATCTTTATACCATTGTGTTACCAATAATCTAAGCCGTGCACATAACAGGAATACAAATGTCACGTGAATGAGCGCTGCCCTCCTCTAGCACACTGCATGTCCAGGGGTCTCCTTCTAGGTGACAGACTACTACTCAGGGGCATCCCTAGGGTTGGTGTCACCCGGTGCGGTAACACTTGGTGCCACTCCTTCGACAATCCCCGCAGAATGGATCGGATCTGCGGATTGAGCATAATAGATCGGAGTCCGATCCATTATGCTCCCCAATCCGCAGATCCGATCCATCCTGCGGGGATTGTCGGCTTGCAACCTATATGGGGTTAAACTGATCTCTCCACGAGCTCCACGAAAAGGTAAGTTTCAAAGCAAGCCGACGATCCTCGCAAGATGGATCGGATCTGCGGATTGGGGAGCATAATGGATTGGACTCCGATCCGCAGTTCCGATCCATCCTGCAGGGATCGTTGGCTTGCTTTAAAACTTACCTTTTTGTGGAGCTCGTGGAGAGGTCAGTTAACCCCGTATAGGTTGCAAGCCGACGATCCCCGTAGGATGGATCAGATCTGCGGACTGGGGAGTATAGTGGATTGGACTCCGATCCATTATGCTCAATCCGCAGATCCGATCCATCATGCGGGGATTGTCGGCTTTCTTTAAAACTTACCTTTTCATGGAGCGGGTCCGGTGTCACCCCGTGCGATAGGTGTCACCTGGTGGGGCGCACACCCCCCACATCTGCCTTGGGATGCTACTGCTACTACTATCTCTATTAAGTACGGTTATCTAAGCTGCTAGGAAAATGCCGGTGTTATTTTAAAAAATCTTAATTCATTTCTTATACCTTATCTTCCCCCGCATCTAACAGCCGTACATGTGTGGAAGATTTTTAAATAATTAGGAGCTGTGTGTGGTCATTCCCCCTCTACCATATTTCCCAGATGTCAGTGAGCGGGGATATGTTGATCCTGAGTTAGTATTTTCTAACCTCCTTGTGCTCACATATATAAAGGAAACATGCTATTGAAATACTGATGGACCCATATGACATGGTAACAAAACTATTCATTTTCGCAGAGCACTAACCGAAATGCAGAGCAGATCTGGGACAGTCACTCCTGATTTTTCTGGTGCTACAATCCTTCACCATTTGCAATCCAACCGAATAATTGAACCTGAAAAACATTCATATCATAGTACACGATGGGAGGACACGCGGATGGGTGAACCTAAAAGACAGGTGGCTCTCCCTCCCTGAAATGTACTGCTGGAGGACTCCGCTCCTTCCTCTATAACTCCTCTCCTGAAATACTCTGCTCTGCTGGAGGACTCCGCTCCTTCCTCTATAACTCTCCTCTCCTGAAATACTCTGCACTGCCGGAGGACTCCGCTCCTTCCCCCTCTATAACTCCCCCTCCTGAAAACTCTCCTCTGCATACTGCTGGAGGACTCCGCTCCTTCCTCTATAACTCTCCTCTCCTGAAATACTCTGCACTGCTGGAGGACTCCGCTCCTTCCTCTATAACTCTCCTCTCCTGAAATACTCTGCACTGCTGGAGGACTCCACTCCTTCCTCTATAACTCTCCTCTCCTGAAATACTCTGCGCTGCTGGAGGACTCCACTCCTTCCTCTATAACTCCTCTCCTGAAATACTCTGCTCTGCTGGAGGACTCCACTCCTTCCTCTATAACTCTCCTCTCCTGAAATACTCTGCACTGCTGGAGGACTCCGCTCCTTCCTCTATAAACTCTCCTCTCCTGAAATACTCTGCACTGCTGGAGGACTCCGCTCCTTCCTCTATAACTCTCCTCTCCTGAAATACTCTGCATTGCTGGAGGACTCCTCTCCTTCCTCTATAACTCTCCTCTCCTGAAATACTCTGCACTGCTGGAGGACTCCGCTCCTTCCTCTAAAACTCTCCTCTCCTGAAATACTCTGCTCTGCTGGAGGACTCCGCTCCTTCCTCTATAACTCTCCTCTCCTGAAATACTCTGCTTTGCTGGAGGACTCCGCTCCTTCCTCTATCTAACTCTCCTCTCCTATGATATGCAGTCCTATCCTCGCACACACATGTGTAAAACAGTAGCAGCGCTGACTAGGTCCAGCCGCACAGAAATACTGCTTACTCTATGTTGGTCCATGATGATCTGTTGTCCATAGTGAGTACAGGGGCTTCATTCTTGGACAGGCTCTCTAACACTCCCTGGACAATCCCCTCTATTGCTACTATTACCTGAGGACTGAGAGAGACAAATTTTTATTATACATTTATATAGCTCTGACATATACCACAGCGCTTTATAGAGAAAACTAAACCAGTCACATCAGTCTCTGTACCAGAGGAGCTTACTCTCTAATGTCCCCTCCCCCACAGTCACATCAGTCTCTGTACCAGAGGAGCTTACACTCTAATGTCCCCTCCCCCACAGTCACATCAGTCTCTGTACCAGAGGAGCTTACACTCTAATGTCCCCTCCCCCACAGTCACATCAGTCTCTGTACCAGAGGAGCTTACACTCTAATGTCCCCCCATCCCCCACAGTCACATCAGTCTCTGTACCAGAGGAGCTTACTCTCTAATGTCCCCTCCCCCACAGTCACATCAGTCTCTGTACCAGAGGAGCTTACACTCTAATGTCCCCTCCCCCACAGTCACATCAGTCTCTGTACCAGAGGAGCTTACTCTCTAATGTCCCCTCCCCCCACAGTCACATCAGTCTCTGTACCAGAGGAGCTTACTCTCTAATGTCCCCTCCCCCACAGTCACATCAGTCTCTGTACCAGAGGAGCTTACACTCTAATGTCCCCTCCCCCACAGTCACATCAGTCTCTGTACCAGAGGAGCTTACACTCTAATGTCCCCTCCCCCACAGTCACATCAGTCTCTGTACCAGAGGAGCTTACTCTCTAATGTCCCCTCCCCCCAGTCACACACTATTAATATAATATTATTATACATTTCTATAGCTCTGACATATACCCCAGCGCAGAGAACACTTACCCTAAGTTCACATCTGTGCGGGTGGTGCCGCTCTGGATCCACATGAAAATCCGTGCAGCCGCACCACCCGCACAGAGAAATGCGGACCCGCGGGCAGGTGCCATTAATTCTAATAGCACGCTGTCCGCACTGGGAAACGCAACCGTACTGGGAACCTCGGCTGCGTTTTCCAAAGAAGTGCAGAGACTTCACTGCGTGTCACGGGCACGGGAGTCCATTCAAATGAATGGGCTCTCGTGCCCGTGCAAAACGCAGCCCGTACGGCCGCATAGATGTGAACCGGGGATGAGACAGTCACATCAGTCTCTGTAATAGAGGAGCTTACACTCTAATGTCCCCTCCCCCACAGTCACATCAGTCTCTGTAATAGAGGAGCTTACACTCTAATGTCCCCCCTCCCCCACAGTCACATCAGTCTCTGTAATAGAGGAGCTTACACTCTAATGTCCCCTCCCCCACAGTCACATCAGTCTCCAGGAGCTTACACTCTAATGTCCCCTCCCCCACAGTCACATCAGTCTCTGTAATAGAGGAGCTTACACTCTAATGTCCCCTCCCCCACAGTCACATCAGTCTCTGTAATAGAGGAGCTTACACTCTAATGTCCCCCCCCCCCACAGTCACATCAGTCTCTGTAATAGAGAAGCTTACACTCTAATGTCCCCTCCCCCACAGTCACATCAGTCTCTGTAACAGAGGAGCTTACACTCTAATGTCCCCTCCCCCACAGTCACATCAGTCTCTGTACCAGAGGAGCTTACATTCTTTCTCTCACACCTGGTAATGGGCTCCACAGCAATACCTGCCATTTCGGCGACCCCTCTCTCGACTTTCAGCGCAGCCTTCAAAAGGGACATCCTGTGGCCATCTACACAGTCGAAGAAGTCTGGACTCTGAAGAAAAGCCATGCGCTGACCTGTCGTAGAACACAAAGACTGCAGACAATGTAAAAAAAAAAAAACCCAAAAAACTGAACCATGTATGGCCAGCTTTAGCCTTAAAGATTCTGAAAATAAAAGCACGTTTTGGCAGACAAAAGGAAAGAAAAAAACAAAACAGAAAACAATACAAAACATGTATGAAAAAATAAAGGGGGAGACTTGATGGAACGCTTGATTTTTCTGCAGCCACCTTTCTATGTTTCAGAGACTGGTCCTTGAACATGTCTACTTGTGAATGAACAGCAGGGGGAGCTCTTGGTCAGTATTAAAACCCAGCCATTGGCCAGAAACACAGCCTCTGCCTGCAAACCTAACGGGCTCTGTAACTGCATCTCATCCTGAGAACAGAAACGTATTATATTTCAGGGTGAAAGTCCTCAAACGCGGTGACTGCATTCCATTTCTTTTTTTATTTTCCTTTAATTTCATCTGGTGACATCCTTCCTGTCCTGGGGTGACACCCATACTGCGTTTATGCAGCGTTGTCACCCTAGCACGAGAAGTGTTAGGACTACAGAATCCCTCCACCTCTCATCTCCTAAAACGAGAGTGAAGTCGCACGATTTCAAAGTCGGATGAGACGCTGATTTCAGGTGCCATTTTCAAGACATCCGACACAGATGTCTATGCAAATCGCACATGGACTACTTTAGAAAACGGTGCGCCTCCGACCGAGTCGGAACCGCACCAGTATGACTGCTCTAATTGCTGACAATAGGGTGCGGCTTGGCATGCGATTTGCAGAACCCCTCCCCTAAAATAGTGGGGGAGATGTTCTATAGTTCACCTATGAAAGTTTGATAGAGTGCACAGGACGCAGGACAACACTGCATTTCTGGCAGGATCAAATGCTACGTGTTTGCACTTACTAAACAGGTATTTCAAAATAGTTTCCCTGCTATCTTTTCAGAGCACTTCCAGTCCCGGTCTCGAAAAAGTTTTTGGACCACTTTCAGTGGACTATTAACATTTTTATCTGGGGTAATAAGCGTCCACATTTTGCTTCATCTATTCTGTACCGCTCACAACGGACGGGAGGTCTTGGTCTTCCCAATTTTTGGATATATTACCTCTCGGCTCGTTTTGCGCAACTATCACAATGGGCAACTATTAACTCTCAGACCCCATGGACCAAATTTGAATCTCAGTCTACACGCCCATTCTACTTACCAGGTATTTTGTGGTCCAAAATCTCCCCCCGATCGCTTACTTTCTATAACTCCATAGTGACTCATTCACTGAGGCTTTGGTCCAAATACAAAATTAAATTGAATCTAGTCTCTCTTACTCCCCCAGGTGTTTCATTTTTTGGTGATCCTACTTTTGTTGCAGCTTTTTCCTCCCCTCAAACGTTTCGTTGGTGGTATGATTGTTCTCTTATCAGATTATCTGATTTCCAGAGAGGAGGATCGTACATTACCTTTGATATGCTACGCAAGTTTTTTGATATCCCTCTTCATGAGTACCATCGATACCGACAGATTAGGCACTTTTTTAATTCACATTTTGGCCTTATACCATCCTCCCCCGATTTCCATTTTTGAACGTATCAGCCGTGACTCTCCCAGAGGTAGAGGACTTATCTCTGATCTTTATCATCAATCTTTGACCTGTCTTTCTCATACACCCCCTTTATACAGACAAAAAATGGGAGGAGGATAGTGGTATCACTTTTTCAGATGAGGATTGGGATTCCATGGTGGATAAGATATGTAAGTGTTCTAGATCTCTCTCTGTTCGTGAGACGGCCCTTAAGGTTTTACTGCAGAATGAAATAAAAACGAGAAGCGCACCAACCTTGCGCATTACCTCAGTAACCAAAATTTATTAATTGTAAAAAATATACTCACAAACAGCGAATAAAATCAGGCATGTAAGTCCTCACAGGGACTTGAAGATAACATGAGTCCCATCAGGGGAGTGGGTGTTCAGTACAGCTGACGCGTTTCGAAGGGGGTCCCTTCTTCCTCAGAGCTCTGGTTAATTTTGGTTACTGAGGTAATGCGCAAGGTTGGTGCGCTTCTCGTTTTTATTTCATTCTGCAGTGTTGATTGGGCTTCCCCAGCCTTGTTTTGGAGCCGCACAGCCCTTTATGCATTGGTGGACGATCCCTCCAGGCCTGGTTCCATCTGTTTCGCCACCTGTCTGAGTCCCAGAGCGCAGGAGAATTCGTTCCTTAAGGTTTTACACCCCATCAAGACTACATATACTGTTCCCCACAAACGTCCCCTTTATGTTTTCGGGGCTGTGGCCTCACAGGAACTTTGGTTCATATATTTTGGGATTGCCCGATCATATCTTTGATTTGGTTCAAGATATCTGAGGTGGCTACATCACTGGCGGGTACCCAGATACGATTGTCTATACAGACCTGTCTATTGGGGGCTCATATCCCAGGGGTCTCTAATACCATTATGAGATTGATACATACTATATTATTGCCACTTTATGGTCTATTGCCTTACATTGGAAGTCCAATGCCGTACCCTTGACCTCCGTTTTACACAGAATTGATGCTGTGATGCTCATGGAACGCATTCATTACACCCTACTGGATAAGATGCACTTATATGATAAAGAACGGGAGTCATGGAGGGATTATAGACATTGATTGCATGATTGACAACATTCCAAGCGAAAGCTGACTGGCATATACCGTTGACGAATGTATCATTTAACCTACCTCATCATTTACACATTTCATGTTCTTGCAATCTACTTTTTTCTATTCCTTCTCTCTCTTACATTAATATACTTTTCTGTATTGTACTTTTCAAAAGTGCCTTGTTTTTGCTGCAAGTTCTATTTGAAAATGTACTGTTGTTTAACAGTCTACTTTTATACAATAAAATCGTTTGTAAACAAAAAAAAAATTGTTTCCCTGCTTTATTTACACCCCGGTCACGCTAAAGCCCACTTTGAAATAGTGTGACTTACGGTGAAGTCGCATGATTTCAAAGTCGGATGAGACGCCGATTTCAGACGCGATTTGCAAGACATCTGACACAGAGGTCTATTTCTATGCAAATCGCGCCAAAAGTAGCGCATGGACTACTTTAGAAATCGGTGCGCCTCCGACCAAGTTGGAACCGCACCGATATGACCGCTCTAATGGTTTACAATAGGGTGCGGCTTGGCATGCGATTTGCAGAACCCCTCCCCTAAAATAGTGGGGGAGATGTTCTATAGTTCACCTATGAAAGTTTGATAGAGTGCACAGGACGCAGGACAGCACTGCATTTCTGGCAGGATCAACTGCTATGTGTTTGCACTTACTAAACAGGTATTTCAAAATAGTTTCCCTGCTTTATTTACACCCCGGTCACGCCAAACCCCATTTTGAAATACTGCGACTTACAGTGAAGTTGCGCTATAAACAAAAAAGGCCGACAATTTTGAAAAAAAAAACAATATTTTTGACTTTTTGCTATAAAAATATGTCCAGTAAAAAAATTTTAAAAATCAAATTTCATCATAAATTGAGGCCAAAATGTATTCTGCTGCATGTCCTTGCGAAAAAAAAAAAAAAAAAAGAAACCCAATACGTGTAAATTAATTAGTTTGATTGAAAGTTATAGCGTCTACAAATGGCGGTATAGATACTGGAATTATTTATTTTTTTTATACCAGTAATGGCGGCGATCAGCCACTTATAGTGGGACTGCGCGGGGGCATTCTGACACTTGGGGGGGGGGGGAACTGACTGTCACTGACATCCCCAGTGACACCAATTCAGTGAACAGTGCTAATAAAAAGCACCGACACTGTACTAATGGCACTGGGCAGGAAGGGGTTAACATCTGGGGAGATTAAAGGGGTAACTGTGTGCTGTTTTACTGTGTTGTCTGTGTGTGGTTTACTATGTAAGCATGCTGCTTTGTATTGCTCTGCAGTACAGAGCAATACAAAGCAGCATGCTGGTGCTGACAGGGGAGAGAGATTGTTTACTTACAGACCTCTCCCCCGACAGTGGTCCTCGGTGATCTCCGGGTGCCAGCGGGACCTGGTGATAGACAGCTGTAGTTGCAAATGGTGGCGACCAGGGGCAGAATGACCATTTGGAAACTTGGGCACTGCCGGAGGGCCCGGGGTCAGTAGGGGGCCCCATGAGATGCCCCTGGTACCTTTTTCATAGGCTTTTTTGAGTTTGGGCAAGGACACAGGGGGTCCCATGATCCACTATTGCCCAGGGGCCCCATGAGTTGTCAGTCCGCCCCTGGCGGCGACGCGCGCGCACCCTACCTGTAAATACAAAATTACATATATATATATATATATATATATATACACACACGTGATTTTGCACAACCCTGCCGCCCTGTAGCAGTAGTTCTGCTATAGGGCGGTCCGGAAGCAGTTAAAGGCATACCCCTTCACCACCTTTCCAACACTCTCACCCGATGTATTGACCCAACACATATCAGATCTCATGCGCTTTGCCTTTAATGAGTCTCCCAGGATAGAGCTACTGATTCCTTTCTTTCCTGTCCAGCTGACCGTTAAATCCATCTCCATCCTCCATATTCCTTAGGTTGTTATTCATGAAAAGCTCAAAAAAGAAAATATCTAGTTCTCTGCATATAATCACTCGTATTTTCCCTGATGAAGTCACGTGATCTGGTGATGTAACGCACCGGGAGGAGCCTGTGACGTCACACACCGCTAACCAGAATACACGGTCCTCCCGTTTTGAGAAAGGTTTTTCCTATTGAAATACATGTACGATGTTGTGCATCGGGGTGAGTGCACATTTTAAGTTGAGTGTTTAGAATTTTGGCTCGTATTTCTTTTTTCAAAAATAGCCAAAATTCTCAAAACGGAGGACCGTGTACTTCTGGTTAGCGGTGTGACGTCACAGGCTCCTCCCGGTGCGTTACGTCAACAGATCACGTGATTTCATCAGGGAAAATACAAGTGATTATATGGAGAGAACTAGATTTTTCCTTTTTTGAGCTTTACATGAATAA